ATCGCAATTGCCTCTAGGACTGAGCTCGAGTTGAGGTCACTCATGCAATTCATAGAAATCAAGGTATTCTTATAAGTCATAAGATTATCTAAAAACTCAGTAAGTGCCTTGGAGTCATCTTGAAGTTGACTGCCGTTACCTTTGACAGCTTCGTATACGTTCCTTACAATCATCGAAGGTCTTCCAAACCTTTGACGTAATATGTTCATAGCCTCAGCGTATCCCTCATTAGGGGGCATGAGCTTACAGCACTGTATAGCTCTTGAAGCATCTCCAGTGCAATATCTCATCAAATACATCAATTTCAATTCATCACTTAATAGAAAACTACTCAACATGATCTCAAACTCCTTTACAAATTGTAAATAATCAGCTGGGTTTTCATCGAAACACCGCGGTTTAAACTTAGGGAGTTTGATGTTCCTATTATCCCTGAACGGCGAAACAGTAACATCAACCATATCATGCTTAACATCAGACACATCGTTACAATTAACAGACAAGTCACAATGACTTACTTTCCTGTTTGCATCCAAGACGCTCTGTCCCTTCTTTGACCCAGGCATTGTTGAACTTGACCCGATTCCAAAACGTCCCAGATATTGCTTGTTCAAAGAGGACTTGACCGGCACCAGGAAAGAAAAACGGTGATTATCCAAACTTTCAACAAATGTTTGAATCCACCAAAGTCTGTTTCTACCGTCAGAAACTGTCAGCCACGTCTCGTAAACCGTTAATGCCCAGCTCTTCCTACGCTCGGGCTCACGCTGCTCCTTGAAGTTTTTCAGAAACGCTTAGTTATAACGGACGAAAAAACCAAAACACCGATTGGCCGCTTGAGAATTCTTTATTGTTACACCAACATATAAAAAATATTTCTACTAAGGTCTGTGAACAACTATTACAATAATAAATCGCAATATTACTTCTGACGGTTTACTGCCGACTTCTTTCTGAACAGCGACCGATGAGATGATGACTGTCGTATTGATGCCTCCGCGAAAATTGGGGATGTTGATTTTGAGCAAACAACCAAGAATTGATCGTTCAATCTTCAACTGCATTGACAGCCCCCTATGCCCGACGAAATGCTGTCCTAGAAGCTTGGGAGTGCATCGACATTTTATGTTGAGGGGTGGTTGTGCCTTCCAGTGGGTTTCACGTCACTGCTGATGAATTCCACTGTAAATTAGCAGCATGCGTTGCGCATGACCATGAATAGAAAGCTCTAACTTCGGATTTATTTATTGATGGTAGAATTTTTGCAGCCTATGATAATCTCTTTCAAATAAAGTTCTCTGCTTTTGCAGACCCTTTATGCATGAGACGGTTGCTGGCACCACTTCTTCTGAGGGTTGGTCACAGGAGTTTGTAACCCGGTGTGAGAATCTATACTCCACATTGACATGTCATATCCATGTTCTCTGAACACTGGCTATATCCTTCTAGGCGTCCCGACCTAATGTGAAAAATGTGAGAATAGAACAGTTACGTGGTAACTAGTTAGAATTTTAGACATTGTAATTAGATCTCCTATCTGCCTACAGTATGATAAGGGAAAGAGGTTTAATCTTTCTAGTCTTTCGACGTACACTAAGTTAGTCACGGCAAGAATGGTACTGTTGCGTTCTTCTGAACCCTTTCTAGAATATGCGAGTGCTTTTAAAGACTAAGACTGGTGATCTGCCTGTCTTGATCTCACCAGAGACGTACATAAAGAGGTAAATATATATTTGGAGATTCTACTTGAGACTTTGTCAATCGCCCATATATATATGAAACTATATGCTGCCACCTCAGGACATTGTGCAGTAGTTCTGTGTCCTGACCCACTATGGAACCTAAATATAAATTAGTCTGAAATGAAGGCAGTTTTCTTCCCCATAGTTCATAGGAACTGACACTTGAGTGTCCATTTCCCATGGTCGCGCATTTCGCCACGTTGATCTGAGGCCTCAATTCTTTGGAGCAATCTGATGGCTTGGTGAACTTTCCTCGTGATATGAAGGTACTGGCTCCAATCAAATTTTTAAGTCATCTGCTCACAGAACCGCAGGGGAGTTGGTGAGCATAGAACTGACTAACATACAAAGCAAGAGGGACCCGGATAAAATGCTTCGTGTAACTCCACTAAGCACTGTTGTCCAGGAGGAGAGTTTTGAGTTGATTTTGACTCCCTGTCTCTCACCTGTGAGGAATTCCCTATTCTAGTTTAGTGAGGCACCTGTGATTCCAAGAACTTTCAATTTCATGTGCAGCCATACGTCACGTGCTCTGTTGAAGGCTTTGACGAAGTCCATGAAGATGATGTCGACATGCCTTCTGCTGTTCCTTGACTTTACCCAGCTTTCTCGTGCAATAAGGCATGAGACTTTTCTTAAGAGGCCATGATGCGCTCTAGACAACAACTTGTCATCTGCTAGATACCTCATGATAGCTCTCTTGATGATTTTTTTCGGTATCTCGATTAATTTCCTCGTAAGACTAATAGGTTTCGTTTGAAGGACACCACCTTGATAACAGTTACTTTAGGGTCTTTCCATTCACGTAGCAACACTCAGTTCAGGAGACATAGCTTGAAGTTCGCAGTCAGCAGGCAGGCTGTATGAATCGATGACTCAGTTAGAGGCCTTGGATGATGCTTATTAGGTCCCATAGATTTCCCCACACCTAGTTTATTTTCAGAGTCAATACCTTGGTTGACATTAACGAATTCTGTCCTATCTTTCTCTGATGCAGTCAGCGCTGGTTTTATGAGGAGTGGCGCCTCCTGTGTAAATACTCCAGAGAAGTCTGAAATTCCCCTGCGTTTTCTCGATCCTCTTCGGCCGAAATATTGGATAAGAAGAGCTCATAGCCGAAGGCGTTGCCCGAAAATGGAGTTATAAGGCTCCTCCAGTCGACTGTTGGGGCTCTGAAATCGCCAACTACGAAACCGCAACATTTAAATATCCATGAGCCTAGCTTCTCCAAAGACAGGTCGTCTGTACTGTAGTTGGGACTGCGCTGTAGGTCGACGAGGTCAGTATCTCGGCCTGTGTATTTAGGTATAAAGTTAGTGTGTTCCACTTTCGTATGCAAGAACTCCGGTGCTAAGCACGGTTAAACACTTATTGAGACAGATGAATACGCCACTCGTTTCGCGGCATATTGGTGCGCCCTATGCACCTTGAAGATTAATAGGCTGACCTCATTATCGGTGACATCGGATTCAAGTCACGTCTCCATAATTATAATGATATAATCGTTTCTAGAGTCCACCACATTACCCACAGTAATAAATCTGCCCAACAAATCACGGGCATTAACGTGGCGAACTATTAACTCAGTTTGATGCTTCTGTGCCTTATCCACTGAGGTTTCGGCGCCATCAGACTTCAGGCATTGACGACACAAAAACCCTCAATCGGAAGGCTTTTCTTGCCTTCCATGCACTGTTTACCTAAACCTTAAGCCAGAAGTTGTCTTTTTTTGACGTAGTCTGTTAAGCATAACTCATCACGTAGGTATAGGCCTACTGCTATAGGAGTTTGAGAATTGATTGGCGCTACACACCTCAATGTTTAGGATTTCAGTACGACTTTCTAGGTATACCGGCTAATTTAATGCTCGGTCGGCCTTTTAGCCGATTTTGTAAAATCTATGCACAGTCACAAATGATTCTGTTATTGGCAGTAACTTATCTAAGATTGGTTTGACTAGTGTGAGGTCATGTTCGAACCTGGTCTTGGTATTCGAACTCACTGACTTTTCAACTTTGTGGAGAATGAGTGACCTACCAAATATATCGGATTTTCTTGGGGCGGCTTTCTTACTGTGCAGTGAAAACCTCTTCCAGTCATTCGTGGACACCGCAGCTCAAAGATTCTCTGTCACGCTTTGTACGGGAAACTTCATGTCAGCCAACTCTCAGAAACTGTCAATGTCCAGCTCTTGCTGCGGTGCACCTCACGCTGTCTCTCGAAGACTTTCAGAAACAGTGTGTAATAACCAGCGCAGAAACCAGACGACAGATTGTGGACTCGATAATCCTTTATTCTTACGCCAATACGTAACCAAAAATAAGGTTATTATACACAAGGTCTAAGAATAAATGTTACAACAATAAATCACGATAATACTTCTGATAGCTTTCTGTCTCCCACCGAACAGCGAACGATGAGACGATGACTGCTGGATTGATGACTCCCGCGAAAAATACGGAGGAGTTGGGTTTGAGCGCCCTTTTATCGTGCCAGCAATATGCAATTTGGTGTTGTAGTTTTCTATCAATATTTTTTGTTACAATTAACGAAGGGCTTGCTGGGTATACTAGGGACAGTTTGAGTGTTGGTGCAATGGTTAATGCTATTCTGTGCCAAGGGGATTTCGTTCCTCGATGGTAACGAACTGAGTGTTCTTAGTATCCTGTCAATGACGTTAGCCGCATCATCGGTGACTGGGAAATATCTGCGCTTCTCATGTGGTGAACGACATTTGCAGTCCAAAAGCTTTAATGTTTCACTGAGCATGGAGATATCTTCTTTGATGTGGAACTCAGTTGTGCTGGAACATTCAATACACAGCCATTCGCTAGGCTTCTGCAGAACTGTCTGTATGCTACGGAGGTTAAGTTGGTGCAAATGTTGTGGAACCGTGACTTGCAGCTGTCAAACCGAGTGCCTTCGTCGAAATGTACACTCACAAATAAGTCTTCTCAGAAGGTTTTTGATTACAGACAGCGTTTATAGGATGAACTGTGAGTACACAACTCACATATGACCTATCAGATAACCACTGATCAAAACCCATGCATTTCGAAAAATTTCGGATGTGATTATAATGTTAATAAACACTTTATGGGTAAACACACTATAAGCTTATAAAAACCTAACTTCGATCAGAATAAACTGAGTTAAAGTTACTCTATAGGCATTTAGAGAGTAAAGCACAACCAAAGCCAGAATGGAACAAGAGAGTGTCAAATTCACCCTCTTGTCAAAGTTCGCGCACTCCGGTCAGTCCGCGAGTAATGATTGAGGCAGACTTTCGAATCCTCAAGGTCGGGATACGTTCTTACTATTTGAATTACTAATTAATGATACAAGGATTCCGTACCGTAAGCGTTCGACTGAAAAGTTTTGCATTTAAAAACCCTATTAATATTTTCAAGAGAGCAAAGTTCTTTAGGCAGATGCAAAGATAGCTTCATTTGTGACAGTGCTGTCTTAAGCAAAACTAGTGCTAGTTGTCTTTGGACGCTAATCGATCATTTTCCCAAGCAGTTTGTATCTATAGGCGTCAGATGAATGTCCATATATAGACTCGGGAATCTACGGTCGATTTGGTGGCATATAAGGCAATCCCCTTGCGAAGTTTTTAAGTTTAACATGTTTTCTTTTGCATCTATTTCGGTTCGATTCTTTACTGTGAAAAAATATGGACTGCCACTGATATTGAGCCTGTCACAAAATAGCTACATATAGTGATCGGGACCGGTCACTGGTTGATACTCAGCCGAACCTAAGAGACTTCTTATGTTACAGGCTACAAGTCATCCGCATCGTATGAAGGCTTATGATATCGCAAGTCCTCCGAACCGAAGTTGGTGAAAACTGACTTCCAATAGCTGATGCAGAATTTAAAAATTCAGTAAACTTAATTGACGTAAATGTGTATGTAGGTCTGTCGCTGGATAATATTTATTAAGTGGATTGTTTTGAACTATAAATAATAACTTCATGTATATATCCAGTTTATAAGTGGACTTTTACGGTGTATTCTTCGCTTTAGAATTTTCGCAACTTTTCGTGAACGGTGGTTCGCTATATCAGGAAATAACTCAGAGAAGACGAGAAAGTTTCGTTTTTAATAAACCATCTTTCGGTGTCCCGATTAAGTCTCTTATGGCTTTTATTGGTGGGATAGAAGGGTATGTTCTAGGTTTCGCGTTTGATGTTTCTTCTGGTAAAGATAATTTTGTGACATACATCTATCAAGGGGATTTTTAGAAATCGATCATGAATAATTGTAAACTTGTTTTCAAAGTTGCCTAACCTCATCAGTGAGTGAATAATTGTCTACTGCATTAGCTAAAAACTCACTTAAGTCTAGTGAGACAAACCTGCTTTTGCACTTATTTTACTGAACTACGAATGAAATTGTTAAAATTTCCCTCTCTTCAGATTACATATAGCGTATTCTCGGGTGTAGAATACTAACTTTTTTCCACCAGGCCACGAGTTCGTGTGAAGTTTCTATGTTACTTCTCTCTTTTATTTCCTAGCTTATTGTTTGAACCTGTGACGCCAGGTAATTGAAATCCCAATATACGATGGTATGTTGTGTCTTTTAAATCACGCATAAGCAGTACATAATGAGTCCTCGAGAAAACTCGTATAAATAGGAAGTGAGAAACAACTTATCTCTGATGTACAAGAAAGCATTATTTAAATCAACCCTTTCTAATTCACAGTTTAGTATCCTACCTTATGCCCATTATAGTGCACTACCATCGGTCTATCTTAATCATCTGTTTTATTACTTCCAGTGGTTAGTGTTGGCAAACAATTTCAGAAGTACATTTTAGCTGTGTGAAAGTAGCATTCTGAAGGAACTAATTGTACGATTTAGTTCTTAACAAACGAGCACACTAACCTACCAACTTATGCTGCAGATGCACAACAGTAAAAATAATTCTCCGGAGTAACCATAATTCAGTTAAAGTGAATGATAATCGAGAAGAGCATGTAAAAATTCATTCTAAATAATTATTTTAGAAAGTCTTCCTTGGTTGAAAATTTTTTCTCCGAAATACAAATGTTTAAGTTATATATATAAGAATATTTAACAAAGATATTTCTACGGCCAGCTAGTAATATCGCTGGTGCAATACTGAGTTTTAAGTGCTTTTCCTTGTTATACTGGAGCTACTTTGTAGCGCCCGTGTATCTTCTTCACCAAACAGAGTAGCAACCGGTTCCTTATTATTTACGGTTAGTTACAGTAGGTAACCCTCCCCCACTTTTTGGTTTATTTAAGAAAATCACATTGCATTACATATACAAGTATAGCAATATTTTTATATTTTACTAAATTAACATTTCGATTCATCTATATGCCATGATAATTCTTAATTATTATTCGATGATTTATTTTTAATTAAGTGATTATATTAAAATTGTAACAAAAATTTTCAAACTTTAGGCAGTTAGTCGGATGACAAAAAAATGAAATGGATTAGTTTTATCCTGATCCATGTGTTGTTAGTGCTTTATTCAGATTTTCTAAGGCTAATTCGTTTACGATTGTGCGTCGGTGGCGTAGCGGTTAGGACGCTCGCCTACCATGCACACGGTTCGGGGTTTGATCCCCGGCCGACTCACTTCTTTACCTCGCTAGGCCAGAAATAATGCTGGTAAAGAGGGAAGGTTGGGCATGAGGCTAGCAACCCAATCCTGTAAAATAAACACTGCTACAGAACTTCAAGCTACTAGCTTGAAGCCCTATGTTCCACTGGGAACGTGAAGGAAAAAAATTCGTTTACGAAAGTGCATAAGCTGGAAATATTGTTTTCAAAATTGACAGGAATATGAAGATTCAAAAAGCCTATATCATATACATAGTAGACTCTAGACAAATGATTGAATATACCCAGTAATCGTTTTAACATGTTTCATGTATCTTTTGGCTGTTAAACTTGGAAAACTGTCCTCACTGTGCAGTCCGTTAAGATTCACGAAGTTAACGTACGTAGGGATTTTTCTATCAACCATCTTTAGTTGAATGAATTTATCTCATTCTCTCTTTGACTTTGATATAAGTAGTACTAATTTAACCGTTGTATACAACTTTAAAATATTCTTCAATGTGTTGATTGATTGTTTATTACTACACACAGTGGATCAACAGGTTCTCGGATGGTTTTACTGGACTCCATGGGAAACCAGATAGGATGTGCAGAGGGTCCTTCAACAAACCCATGGGTATGTATTTTCAAGAGTTTTACGTATTTTGTTTCAAAACAAATCACCCACAATGCATAAATTACGTGAATACGATAGGATACTAACTGGAGCTGAGGGAAATTGTCGGACACATCATAGTAAAAGGAATGCCGTAAATAACAAAAATACTCTCCAAGCTATGGTTGTAAGTATATAATACAAGGTATGAAATACTTAGCAATGTAATAAATCGCACTTATTAAGAGAAATACATTGTACTGACTCTATAGCAGTGCAGTGGAAATACTAGAAGCAAGTTCACAAATTCAAGTCGTTGTACACAAAACAATACTTTACATTAAAATCTGTATGCAATTTTGGTAGTGTGGAGAAGAAAAACGGAGTTAGTTCTCGGTCAAGTTTTTAAATATTACTTTATGCTGGTAAGCAAATAGTGCGTGCAACTGTAAATGCTATGATTGAGTAACTTTCGACATATTGCTAAGGTGGAAAATAAATTCATGTATATTGAAGCTACCATGAAATTTACCTAGCGAAGAATAATTTATACACCTGGTTACCTTGATGAGGTTGAACAAAACAAGAAAAAATTAATTTTTTTCAGTGGTTGGCCAGATTCTTCAAAAAGTGACTTATTATTTGCCCACCGTGTGATCTCCACTTAGGTGAAGCATAGATATATAGAACTTCATACATTTGCCACTGTGAAGTACTCAGGAAGCAACTTCAAAGGTGACAGGAAATTAGCGAGTGATTTACGAGCACAAAGGGACAAATCGGTGCCACAGTGGTTAGGACTCTCGCCGACCATGCACATGGTCCGGGGTTCGAGCCCATGCCGATGCACACCTGATATCTATGGTCGGCCTGCGAATTTTGGGCTACCGATATCCACGCTGAAAATTCCACACTTGTACCAAAAATACAGTGTAGAATCAAGCTGTAATCAAAAATAAATAAAAATAAATAAATATAATTGACACTGACGTTCACAAAAGATATTTGTAATCCTTATTTTATAACCTTACTTTTAGTGTATTTGATAGGCTTGGGATTTCACAAATGCATTATAAAAACACTCTAATAATGCCTATTTACCTAAGACAGGAACTCGATTAATTATTTGTCGTATGATTAATTCATTACCTCAGTGTTTAAGTATGTCACCTCTCCAGATCTAATTGATAAACTTCTGTAACATTTACTTACTTCAGTGATTATTTAGTTTTTAATGGTGGTGTTCATCACTTAGTCTCGCTTAACACAATCCTGCATTCATCATACACTTTTAATCATCTTGGTGATTGTACTATTCTAGTTGCTGAGCTTAATGAGTAACTTGTTAGGTTTAAAAAACATTAATGGTTTGATAACGTATGAGCTTATTTATTGTTTACCATCTGAATAACTCAGCCAAGGGTAAAAAACTTTCAAATGCTTGACATTATCGCATACTTGCGAATGGTTTTGAAAACAAGTGATGGTTTGGTAACTATTAGTAACAGATATCACCACTCATTACAAAATATGCTAAAATATAATGTCGTATGACTGACATTGACATAGGTTTTGATATACTGTATTTGAACAGATCAAATGAAACAGGTATCATCCATCAATAATTACTTCTTTCCATCTTTCTATTTACATCAAATCAGTTTAAACTTAACAGTGATTTCAATTTTATTGTTAAGAATGATATATTTAAAATTCCATCGTAGATTTCTTGTTGACTCGATATTATCTTTACGGGATTGTCAGATTGTTCGTTTAACAAGTGTATATGAGATGAGAGTGTTAAGAGCATATATTGACTGCTAATGTATTCATCACATATAACCTTTATTACCTTCTTATTGTATTATTCAAGTGAACAAAAGGAATTAGGTAGTAGTTTTAACTTCATTTTTTTGGTTCAAAAAGGATTTAATTGTTTATTTATCAATTTGTATAACTTTCAGTTAGTATTGTGTCGTTTTTTTATTAATGCTTGAAATGATTAGTTATTGGGCTTAGAAGAAGTTGCTAAACGTATTCTGAATTTAGTGGACTCAGTATTTTTGAATTCAGGTGAAAAGTCTCCGAAACCACTTAGCCATTTAGTAAGTTCACTCGTCGTATATAATAATATATGCTTTGCATGTAAGCATAAGTTTATTAATGCATATGTAAGTTATTTTAATATTTTAGTGCATTTAATAAAATACAGTGATTGAGAAATCACAGCTGTAAATTTGTAGATGAAATAAACTTGCTGAATTTTCGTCTGCTACCTTATCTCCAAGTTTCAAAGTACCGTTTTTGTAATCTTTGGAATTAAAACAATCAGTCCTTTTGATAAATCTGAATAAGACATTTAGAAGACGAATTTCGCGACATTATATCGTCATTTCGCAGTTTTTTTTACAACCACTTTACAACTAACATGGTTAACAATAATAAAATAAACATTATAATAAAGGTTTTTTTGTATTTCCCAATGAATGAAAAACAAAACGATATTGTCTTTACTGACGTTTCGCTATTTAATGCTAATAGCTTTCTCAAAGTATTATTAAACCGGAATTTACAAAATCTCAGCATATATATAATATATATATATATATATATATATATATAATGAATGTCATATACCCAATGTCCAAATTTTTTCAAACCGTTAATAATAAAATAAAGTGCATGACAATTACTTAGTTAAATAAAACAAAACTACATACTAATAACCAATCATATTTAAATAGGTCAAGTAGTCTACTACGATACACTTATTATTAGTAATAATAGTAAGTCAATTAAAAACTTTATTTCTCTATTTAATCATATTTATCCGAATATCCGAGTGACTTCCGAATTGTAACTGAATAACAAACTTGGTTTTCTGGATATTTCAATGACCAGGAGAGACTATGGAATGACTAAGCGATCTGTATTTCGTAAACAGACTGGAGTAGACAGTTTCTTCATTTTTTACTTTTGTTCCCTAATGAAATGATTGTTTTCTAGGGCCCTCAAAATATGTACGAGCGACACATTGATGGATGAGCTTCGAAACATACATTCATTTTTAATAGCTAATGGTTATCCAAAAAACGTTATCAATGGCCACAGTAAGGAAAGACCACATCTTGAAAAGACTGCTTCGGTACCAAAGAAAGCTATCTTTAATAGCCTACAATTCAAGGGTGATCAAATTATGCAGTTGACAGCTCAAAGACTTCGGTCAACCATCAAGCGCACACTGTATACCGCATCTCTTTCCCTCACATCTCGAACATTTTCGATCCCTATACTTACGATTGAAGGACGAAATTCTGTTAACTCTACTTCAAACTGTGTCTACAACTTCACCTGCAATTGCGGCGACATCTACAGGTAGAACCAATAGAATGACCCAATGTCATCGAAAAGAACATGTTCGAAAATGGTTGTTAAAAAGAAATCCACCACCATCCATTGCGAAGCACTTATTAATGTCAGATCACAAAATCAATATTAATGACCTCTTCACAATTATTAAAGGTGATGGAAGCACTTTGGATTAATCACACACATCCTAAACTATGAGTACAAAAACAATAGACTTAAACCTTCGCTTACCATGGACTTCTTGATCTATTTAAATATGATTGGTCATTAGTATGTAGTTTTGTTTTATATAACTGAGTAATTGTCATGCGTTTTATTTTATTATTATTGTGAACCATGTTAGTTGTAAAGTGATTGTAAAGAAACTGAGAAATGACGATACCATCTCGCGAAATTTGGCTTATTCAAACCTTTGAAATTGTTTTACTGCTATGATTCTTATCACTGGCTATTTGATCAATAAAACTGAACTGGTATGATACTAGTTCAGTTGTTCATCGTATTAAATTATAGTTTGACTAGATAAAGGCTGTTCACAAGCAGACAAGCTCCAAATAAACGGATATCACATTACAGATCGAGTGCATACATATGTTATGATCCCTTTTTCGGTTAATAAATTGTCATGTACGAAAAAAATATAACCTAGATAATTCAAAAGGTCAACTGTTCTACAGACAACAGATTGTGTGAACCAAAGGTAATAAAAGAGGTCATAAATACCCTGATCAGTTTTCTATTTAATATACATGAAGCAATATTCAGTAGGATTTGCTTATTCTAGGAACACAAATCAGTCAGATGTTAAACCAAAGCCCTTAAGTCAGTAGGTCGGAAGTGAAACTGTTTAAAGTTGGGCATTCTGGAACCGGGGGACCTCTCCGCCTGGGCAACGCTAAATTTTTCAAATAAAGAAAAAAAATAGTTTGGTACTTATTCTTACAGTTTATTCTACTGTTAGAAAGTCACGTACTGGCTACCAGTATCAGACGATGTTTTCGTCAACCTGACGCTAATTTACTTGTAAAAGTGGTTGATTCAGCGAAAGAACTTATACTAGTATTCAAGACAACTGTGTGATGTGAAGGTGACATCAAACGTTTTTCAGAAAATTACAGACATTTTAACAGCTGAAATACAATATATCTGAATATCATCAGAACGATGCTAGTAGGAAGAACGATTAACCAAAATACATCAGCGTTGCAGAAGATACTTGTTTCACACGACATCCGCACATTACTTTCCTCCTCGGGATTAATCACTTTCTACACTTCACTTTTACCAAAAATGTTTTCCCTTAGAAAATGTTTCAACAAGCGCCAAGAAAAAGATGCGAAGTTGATTTGATCGACTAATTTTCGACGTACATATAAATAAGTCAAGAGAATGCTACCTTCCGATCTTCTGTTTGTACATTAAAACCTGGAACTGGAAATTATTATTGCAGTTGACGCGTCTGCTTATCTGCTTCAAGAATGCCAGAGATAGCTGAACGAAGTTTAAAGAAAATTGACAAAGAAGGCCTTGCACTGATATTCATAGTGAAAAAGTCCTGCAAAATATCTCGTGGTTGCGGTCTTACTGTATTTTCTGATTAAAGCCTTTCCTGCTAATTTTTTGTTCGGAGAAGTTTCTGTTTATGCAGTAAATAGCCTTCATGAATAAGTGACTGTGCTATTGGGTTACAATTTCGAAATAAAGTAGAAGCTTACACATGATTTTGTTCATGTCATTTCATTTCCGTGCCTTGAAAGTCAAATGATGAACAATGAAGATGGAGTGGTTTGTGTTTACGCTGCAGAGTATATAAGATATTTTCTGGTAATGATTAATGTACTCTCAAAAAAGCAACAGGTTTTCATCATGAAAAATCCTTTTACAACAGTCATGTTTCGGAAATACGAACAGGTATCCTGTCACTAAGGTTTATCCTATGTAACTACTATTGCCAATGATGCATCACATTTCACATCAAACTACTTTTAAAAGTTCTGTGAAGATCATAACACTCAGTATGTGAGGCCTGTTCCATATCACCTTCAATCGAATGGTCAATCAGAACGGTTTATCAACTGACTCTAAAGAACTGTTCTGAAAGGAGGAAGTGAAGTGCTTCAAAAGTTCTTTCTGAGCTATAACTCAACACCAGATTCACCAAGAAGAAACAGATTGTCACTTATTGAAAACACATCTGAAGGGAAAATTTTTATTATTTTGGATGATCTTTTTCTGAAATCTACGAATGCCAATGTATGACAAATGAAGATGGAAAGAGAATGCAATAAACAACGTAGTACAATCACTCTTTAAAATAAATATGGTTAGCGTTATTAGAAAACGAAGTTTGTCTTTAAAATATTAAGACCAGCTTGTATCCAAAGTTACGTCACAATCACATGGCACTACATACTACTGGTTGATTGATTTAAGTAGTTGGATGCCACTCATATCAAGTAGTAGTGTTTGCTAGGCAGATCGAAGCTATCTAAACAGTGGACAGCCGTTTCGCCCCTTTGGGGCCAAGCTTATTACCGGTGTACCTTGTCTGATTTAGATCAGAGAACTGAATCCGTTGAAACCACTTGCTTTCTTGATTCCCATATATGGGATTATTCAGATCATATGTTGTAATTGGTTTCTAAAAGAAATTGTAATAAAATTTCAAGTCGAACTGTTGAAATTACAAATCGTCAATTCGATTTTTGTTCACAATCATTTGTAGGTTAAAAAGAAATTATTAGGAAGGTTCGAAAAATACGTTTGAAAATATCTGATACCATGAAAATTTTTCACTTAATTATTTACAATCATTTTCGCAGGGTTTATCATTGAGTGGTATTGATACTGAAGAAAATCAAAATGAATTGGCAAATGCCATCAAAACTCTTCGTCCAAATGTTGCACAAGAGATACACGCTTGCAATGATAGTATTGGTACATATCTAACAGTATGTGAGAGTGGTAAGTTCACTCTTCTAAGTATTAATATCAGGCCTATATTAAAAAAATTGACTGTACATCTCGTTTTTTAGTATATGACTTAAGTTATCAGGCTTAAATCCTGAGTCTATGGGTTTTGATCTAGAAAAGGTTAGCACTGTGAAGTTACTGTTAATTCAGTTAGTTATAATGAGAAGGCAGTAATGATTATGGACTATGTCTGGTATCTGAATGTCCCATCCAAGTAACTTACAGATTTACCGCTTTTTTTCTCACAGTGATCATAAGCCTATCTAAGAACAAATTATGAAAGCGGGGTCTTAAGTGACCAAGTAAGCATCAAACTCTTCTCGTGTTCATTATTTCAAAAGCTGTTAAAATAATTTTGAATACCCGTATCATTGATTATCTAGCTGTTGCATTGTTAAGAAACCTACCTTACTGTATGTATAAAATCTTCACATCAAGTTCAGCACATCGCGTAGAAGTTCTTCCTAAGGCTATTCATTTGTTGTTTGGTGCAAATTACTCATATTCAAGTTTGCAAATAAATTTGGTAACATAAACATCATTTCTATCAAACGGCTGATCTAACTGTTCTAGTACAAACGCGTTGAAACGGGTTTTTAAGCTACTTTTCCACCATTTTATTTTCTCAGGTAGATTGTCTCTTTTCAAAGCAAGGGTTGCTTATTTTTGACATTGGCGGTTTCAGTTTATCAGTCTATTTTGCTTATTTTGTGTGTGATTCCCATTCCGTTAATAACTTTGTTTATGGGTGGTTAGTACATTCGATGTGTTCTTTGAATATAAGCTTTATATTTTTCTCCAACGGGCACTATTTAGTGTACACTTCAAGCTGACATTACTAGTATTTTAGTCAGTTTAGTAGATCTTATTTAGTAATATATTAAACTGCTGTAATTTGGGACAGTAGTTTTTGGACGTATTCCCATTGAATCGATTTAAGTGCCAGATTACCTTTTACCTCTCATAGGGTGGGAAGATTTAGCGTATTAAGTGCGCTTGGGTGATTCACATTGTTGATTACACAACATATCTGCAGAAATATGTATATAAACCTATTGTCCAGGGTCCTTCAAGTGTTGAGAGTTACTAGTGGAAGACTGTGCGTGGTGTATTGATGTATTTATTCTTTCATTGTATCGGTTTTGAACACTTTCAAGAATGAATTTATGGAAATCTTCTTGATTTACCGGCAACTGAACTACTTAACATACATTTCAAACTTTTCCCAGTTTATGTGTCCGGAAAAATAAGCAGCTTTGCAATTAGTTTAACCTTTTAAGGGACGAATAGGGAAGCGAATCCAGTAGCGTCTATCTGTTTGTTCACTTTTCAGCAGCTGAAAAAACCTCATGTTAGGAGAAATTTATTTTAAAAAATCCTCAATTGTTTCCGTTTCGTCTGACATTGTGATTTTGTACTAAACTAATTTTGACGCCAAGTCAAATACTGATCCCTCTGAACTTTTGAAAGGACACTGGATGTTTCTTTTAGGGTAGTATAAATATTGAAACTACGTAACTTGTTGTTTTATTGCTACTCTCAATGTCTTAACATTCCTTCGCCCTTCCCATCCTGCTTGAGTTACAGTGGTTTTCATAAGTTCTTTACATTAATAGTTGAGAGGGTACAGAAATTTCTCTATGCTTGATAAAACAGACGTCTGAGTGGGCAGAAACTAGATTTAATAATAGCCGCTGATTACTGCACTTCACTTATACCATCGTCCTGGTGCTCGCAGCAAACACTCTTCAACCATAGATATGCGGACAGTATCGTTTAATTACACAAGGTTGCTCAGATTATATGTAATAAGTTCGTGACCATTATCTGTGAGTATGGTTATGCACGTGGGCGGATATGGAGTCAGGTGAAAACGTTGGCGGAGAACTGAATGCAATGGAGACGTGCTGCTGAGACCCTATGTTCCTCCAGGAACTAAAGGAGACAATGATAATGGCTATACTTAGTAGGGGTCTGTTTCTCCACTCCCTTTTCACGATGAGCTGTTCGAGGCAATCCAAAAGTTAGTATATATGGATATCTATGTGTGCCGCGGAAGATTTAGTATGTGCTATTTTTAATCGTATATTAAATGAATTCCCGCTCAACAGCCATAACCAAGTGGCCGGTTGTATTGCAAGATGAATGCAGTGAATATCATAAGGCAAAACTGCTTGTCAGGTAAACAAATTTACTACTTGAATACTAAGTAAAAAAAAAAACCGTTTGTTAGAAAATAGAAATCCATTAGGTAGGTAGTTTATTGTTTCGAACAGTTGTAGAGTTACCAGCTATTGATTGTTGTTTACACTATGTTTACTGTTCAGTAGTTAGTATTTCTGCATATTAACTGTAATCGATTAAACAGGTTTTACTGTATTCTTTGTTTTTCTTCATATTTTACAAAACATATCGACTCAGTGGTAATGTGAATACCCAGTGGAATGCAATGTGCTGCATTTAAGTAACCCAAATGTTGTCCTAAAAATACATTTACTCCTATTTATTTATATATTGACTGCTATAGTGTGTAATTATTTCTAAAAGAAATTCTTGATATTCGAAAAAACTGACACGTCTGATGTAATTCAATTCAGTGTTATATTACGACATTGTGGAGTTTCTTTTTAAATAAATTTCGGCTTGTTTATTTATGTGTGTGTTAGCTGAAGTATTTATATACACTTTATGCCCCGGAATTCTAGGACTACTTTCAATATGAGTGAGAATTTTGCATAAAGTACGGTTTCATCAGACAGCAGATGTTGTAGACTTCGATTTCTGGGTGTCTGGGGACGTTGTTTATCGCCACAAGCTTTAAATCTATGCAACGCCCCTTGCGTACTTGAGTGTCCTATATGCGCTTTCTACTTTGATGTGTTTTTGCTTCGATTCTGAAGCATTTTTAAATTAGTCTGTCTTGAAGGGCAGAAAATAGCAGCATACTATTCCCAATTCACCTGACTATTTCTGACGAATGACTTTGTTGATGGAGACTGTGTATGGATCAACTTTATGAGGAATTCACAAAATTTAAGCGACTGGCAGTTGATCTTAGGTTGTGAAAATACTAAATGTATCCAAGCGAACATCAAAATGCTGCATAGTTGGTGGCAATCAGTAGGAAGCCCTGTACATAGGTTAGTCGGCTCTCGCTGTCAAGGCGTTTCTTCTACTCTAAAAGGACTGATGTCCTCTCTGGGATTCGAACCCGCGTCAAGTAGTCTAACAATCAGAGACCTTATAACTGACTGCCTCCAGGACTATTATGGATAAAGTGACTGGAGAATGTGTAGTTCTTGGTGGTGGTGGTGGTGAGTTTGACTGAATTCTAAGAGTCATGCTTGTAATGTGTTCACACGTCATTTCAGCGCACTTTTGAATTAATGTTAGGTGGTTGGAGGCAGTCAGCAGGATGGAATGTCACACGGAAAGTCAATTTTCACAAGGCTGCAGATATACCTTCCTGACACTTCCCAGCAAGCATGATACCTAGGTCTAGGAATTATTGCTGATGGTCTCCAACCTCTGAGATAGCGAATCACTCAGCTCAGTTACCACAGCGTACACTAGACTGACAGAAATTTAGTCAGCAGTAACAACAAGGACTAGGGACGACTGATCACTGTGAACACAATAGTTTTTAATGGAAATCATGAATTCAGTTTTCTCAAATTGGGCAGTATGTGATAGTAGGTGGTTTCCAGTAATGATATTAACATTTATTCGCCGATACTTTCGCTAGAAAAGTGATTTTTGTGTAAGTTGTTAGAGATTAACCTTTGTAGAGAAAAAGTAATTATGAACCTTTTCGCTGCGATATTTTCTAGTTATGTTGGTTTATATTGTAGTGTATTCTCGATTTTTGCTATAAAAACACGGATTAAAATGCACTCCCAATTTTAGTAACTAGGTGTATTATTATTATTATTATTATTAGTAGTAGTAGTAGTAGTAGTAGTAGTAGATTTAGGCTTATTAATTATTTATTTGTTTTCATGTAGCGTACAGTAATTCTTCACTATAACCAATAACAACTTTCTATTGCTGTTAGTTTTCACTTGTATTATTCATTATTTTGAACGAAGCAAGAACTAGAACATTAACAGGACAAAAGAGCTTACTTTGTTTCATAACATTTCTTCAGCTGCCAAGCGTTTTAAAACTATAAGTTTCAAACTATAATTGTAGTCATTTATAAAACTATATTTGTAAAATCTCATATGTATAATTGTAATCGGCAATTCTTTAGTAAACTAATGCTTTAGGAAACATGACTACATAGTAGTTAATAGTGAGATAATTTTTGGAATTCGAGTGAAATGAAATCAAACATAATATTCGAAATTCGTAACCTTAACTTCTTTATTTTGGTATAAGTGAATACACAAGCAGGTTTAGTTAGGACATTTGAAAAACCGCGATATTTATTTTTATTGTTTTGCAGAAAAAAATTCACTCCATCATTATGAAAATACATTTTTTGTGCATTGATCTGTAAAGACCCTGTAATATTATCATCTTTTCTGTTACTGATTTCCAGCAAGTCATTTGTCTGCTGTTGTGTTATCGTTCCATACTAGATACAATTATTCGATATGATTCACAGTCATACAGTATTGATAACTGAATGACGTCGAGAGAATAATTTATCACTTATATTCATACCAGTGTTAAGCAGCAAGAAAGTCTGGCAACGAGATAACCAAGAATCTATTGCCCAACAACGGAGATAGGTTGGATATACGCTAAGAAGACCGCTGAGTGATATCTCGTGTCAGGCCCTAGGGTGGAAACCGAATGGGAAGCAGTGAGTTAGGCTTGAGTCTTAAGATGATAAAAAGGAAATGATGTGAGGCCGAAACGAAAGCCTATGAGCAATTGTGTAGCCAGCTAATAAAGACTTCAGAAAATATGATGAAATGAAGATGTGCTGTTGAAGCCCTATTTTCTACTTAGAACCTAAGGGAATAACCAATATAGTCCCCGAATCCTACACTTACATAATGTGGACTAAAAGTAATCGACATGTTGCTACGTTATTCAAAAGGCATAGGATTATAAGTGAACTAGTAGAAGTTACATATATCTTAATGTGTTTCAATAACCTAACAACATTTCGTTTACCTTCAGTCCATAAAATGATGTCGGCGTAAAGTAGTAGCTTCATTGCAACAATAAATTACTTATATTGCCAGCAAGGCAACTGTCTATCACATATGTGCCTGACATATATCAGAAAGTTGACAGAGGACCTGGATGTGCAAATATACCAGATAATTTAGATCAACATAACCTGTTTTCTGGAGTTCACAATTTGCTCAAATTGAAAGCAGTTCTAAGTTATAGTTGTTTCGAATGTATCACTGGCCTTGCTCTCTGTCTAGACGTAAATAAATGATCTTGTAATCACCTACTGATACTGTGCATGTTTCGGCGACTTCTATGCCTTCTCTCCTATCACTGACCTAGATTCTGGTTACATGGTGCGGGCGTACTAGTTAGCATATTCGTTATCCCAAATATACTGATGTCAGCCTGTCGATTGCATCGTATGATAAAAACAACTCTTATTCAAGGCTTTCTTTTTATTGAAAATAAAGTGTAGACGAACAGCTTCTTACCATATAGACAGATAGACAGATCAACGTGACACTACTGTGCAAAAAAAGGGGAGTAGTTTTCGTCACAATATTTCAGGAAACAAAAATAAAACTGTAATGATGATGAAATGGACAAATACTTGTGGAAGAGTGTTTCAAAATTGATTGGTAAAGTTATGCGCTTATAAAACAGTGGACTCCATGATATTGTTATAATATCATGGGTGATAGCTAGTTTAGGGCAATCAATAATATATGCATGATTATCAGTCTGTACATATCAGGCACCTAATCTTGCATAAGCTACGTAAAGAGTCATGTAGTTCAGTGATCTTAAAAAAGATTTAAATTATAACTGCAAATGTTAGATGATATCCCAACTGAATTATATCATTACTTTGGCATCAGTACAAAAATTTGTGTTGCATGTAGTGTGTTCATCCCTATCTTAATACATACCATTTGATAAATTTTCAAAAAAGCCACCATCTGTTTGTTTGACTATATCAACGCTTTTAGCTACAGCCTCGTGTCTTTTTATGCTAGTCAACACAAATGTATTTTTTGAGAAGGCAATTTGGGAATTGAAATAAGAGAACACAACAGAGGAGTTAGAATAAAGATGCTCTACATTCATCCAAATAAGGAGTAAATTTCTGTAATACTAGTAATTCTGAATATTTATTTCTAACTGTACTAACGTATATCTGAAAACGCTTAGATTTTCAGTGTGTGAACAAAACCATCTTATTTTAAACTAAACCTAGGTTATATAAACAGCTGTTTTATAAGTCAACAATCAATATTCAATAGGGTTATGTGCTTTTATTTTAAAACACACTTACTGCTGTGGTGACTCACTGGCAGTTTATATTACTAAAAACGTTACTATCGGTGAACTAACTGACGTTTTAAAAAAGCAATTTTATCACCTTATGAATAATCTACCACACCCATCACCAGTAACGCAATCCTCAAATATGACGCGCATTTTGGTTAAATTTCTCCAATGGCGATGGCTTTGTATTATACTGTGTACATTGCTTACGCCTGTGTAAATTGATCTTATAGATATTACTATATTACCTTTTCTTATATATATATATATATATATATATATATATATTGTGTAAGTGAATGACAGTAAATATGCTTACTCCTTGCATATGTTATTTATCATATTGATGATACCTGTTAACTGGCGTCCCTCATGTACAAAAATTCAGAATATATTATTATTTAGCACAACTGTTAGAAATCAGTCGAAGACATTGCCCATTCATTGGCATTTGACTTTCAGCTAGTGGGTCCAGGGTTCGAATCCCACTCAAACTACTTCAGTCTGGGCAACTAGATAAGTATCATTAGCCGTCATAAAATAAGTGTAACTGATAGATTTGGATATGAAAGACCTATTCCAAATACTGAGTTCAAACAAAAGCATTTTTGCGTAGTGATAAACCGTCACAGAAACTTAAGAAAATACTATAATGAAAATTAATTTATGCAGAGCAAAAGTGGTGTCTATGTAATAATTATCTAACTTTCAGAGAGGAACTGTTTGACACTTTGAGATACTTTTGTTTCCATTTCTTGTATTAGTTGACGTCACTTTCGCTAAAAAGAAACAAAAAATAGTATAATTCTAAATTTTTAATTTTTCTAGCTGCTATTGTATTAGTGTGCGGAACTGGTTCAATATGTAATTATATAAGAGCGGATTTAACTTTTCAACGAGTTGGAGGATATGGACATATACTTGGGGACAATGGTTCTGGTAAATTTCATCGTCATTTAAATATTTTATTATTATCTTGGGGGAGAAATTCTCCCTTTAATAAATTTTAAATTAACTATTATTTGACTAAATTATTATTAAATCGCATTAATTGTCTCATCCGTTTATTCAGGGGGTACTGTTAGATGTAATAATTTTAATTCATTGGGTTAGTCTTCTAACTATTGTTCTCCATTTGTTTTCTCACCTGTGTGCATTCCGAGTGTTTCTGTTCGTTCATCAATCATATTATCATTCCGATTCCTTGATTTTGCTATACATTTTCGAAGTATTGCTAATGCCCTTCTCTCCCAGCTTCAACTTTGATATGTTTGTCTGCTTCAGTCTTTTCTAAAATTAGTAGAATTAGCTCCTATTTTCATCTGCAAATTAATTCGTAACTTATACACTTCGAAAAGGTGGAATTTCGCCTTAGTTTCATTTAAAAATCGAAATTATTCGGTTCACAATATGTGATCTGCTTAATGTCATGGACTGTCATCATGGAAACAAGGATGAATACGAAATAATATCACTGATGATTGATTGAGATGTGTAACTGCATACCATTTGAATCAACCAATAACCCTTGATAGCTAAGTCGAAGTGATCTAAGCACTGTACGGCACTACTGGTTGATGTAGGCTGCATACAACTACCCATCTCAATCGTCAATCAGTAGTATGCAGTGTCTTGCATTTATGATTGCTTTCTTGGTTAACACTTACGATATCGAGCGAATCGCTTATCGATAGACGAATTATTTCGGTTTCCAAAGGAAACTGAGGTGAAATTTCATCACGAACTTTGTAAATTCACTAACTGTGATATGCTTTGCTCCAAATGCGCGAAACGACTGTCCGGTGGTTATATCACTTCTGTCTGGCTATCAAGCACTACTAGTTGATAGCAGTGGTATACATCTACTCATTTGAGTCAGTCAGTAGTACACAATGTCATGCTAGAACTATATGCGTATATACCCTACGCTGTTGACAATTAACACCAACTTAACTAAGGTTCAGGGCCTCTTGTAGATGTTGTATATTAAGTAATAGGTGTCCTATTTTGGTTCATTTATATGTCATATACTGAGTTTCATGAGGCGTTACACTTCAGTGTATAAAATTGTAATCTCGCACACATAGAAAGTGGTAAACATGTTCCCTATGTGATGGTGGGTAATTTTGTAAGCAGAAAGGTTTGAAAAACAACCAATTATTCTCATTTTTTAACAGAAACTTGGCAATATACGAGAACTAGGAAATGTGCCACACAAAACGGAATAAATAAGGGGTAACATCAAAGGAATAGGTAGGCGTACTTATCAAGAGCATTCAGAGAATGGTTTATTGCCTCACTCTACTCTCAGTAACACGAGGAAGGAGGAAGCCTCAGCATGTCCACCGGTGACCACTACTGTCGGCTATATCTGGTGACGTGTTGAGCTACTGATTTGACTTATCTGTCGGATACCACTCAGGGTGCTGTGATGCTTAACTGATGCTGACCTAACACAAATACCCTTCATTCCACAACGTTGCTCCAAGGGCGGACTATTCTTCCGCCTTTTCTACTCACTTCTGAGGTTAGAAAACAGTGGAAGATACAGGATTTTCTAAGATAACATTTGTTATACATGTCCAAGTCATCAAAGATCATAATACCTATTGAAAGACGGTCTCTACTGTGACATGATGATGCCATCTTATGCAAGCGATTCCAAAAAGACAGTGATGATTGAATACACAGAGTTATTGTACACTCTCAGCTGGTACAGACCAGGTTTTACAGCATACAACAAAACAAAGTGGACCGAAATATTGTAAACCAGACGTTTGAGGGCCAAGTGAATGACACAGGAGATAACCCACGTTGATGTATGCCTCCTTGCCTTCACTATATGGTTAGGTATTTCGTCTGTCATAGGTTCTCCATCAGTCGCACGACCACGTATATACACGAACTTGTCAACTACATCTGATGGTCCATTTGTGAGAATGAATGGAGGTACAGGTTTCAGTCAATCTTTGCACTTAGATGACTAAAAGCATATACCATACCTACAGACACTGACTGTCAAATGACCAAGTGTGCTTCGGGTAGCTTGTATGTCATCACAGTTAGACAATATAATCTGCATATTTAATAAGTGAACTCTCAAGCTTCCGTCTTCATGTAGAATGAATGACAGAAATAATTAGTAAGATTCATACGGAGATAATGTTTGAGAATTCATATTTGTATGTATATGGCAGTAGCATGCACAATAAAATTTACTCAAGCGGTAGAAATTCGCAGATATAAGCCCCCTTTGTATGTAAAGCAACGATTTGTGCTTACATTTAACCACCTATCTTCGAAATTCCTAATTATTATATTACTTTCCTAATTTTAATTGGTCTTGTATTAATTTGACCGAAAGGTAGATACGTGTGATCAAATTGTTCTTTCATATATGCACACATTTAAACTGTTTGTATTTAAGGAATGGATAGTCTGCTATAGAACAAACTTCATTTTTCTCTCTCCTTTCACATTATAGTTTTTATTTAGTAAGCTACTAATTTTAAATTACCTTACACATCGATTGTTTAGGCTTACTGGCCATCAACCAAAAAGTTGTTTTCTGTTGGTATAAATTACCATCTGAACTCGTAAACAGAATTCATAGCATTGCCGGAGTATTTTGCACTATTGCTGTTTTCGTCAAGACTATTTTAGATTGTCATGATTTGACAGAGTTATACTAACGTAATTCATGCTCGGGATCCAAAGTGAGGTGGAAACCTAAGTCATTTCAAGACTCGAGTCCCGTAGTATGTTAATTTTATGTAACACAGTGCCTTGCAAATGGATATATTTCTCAGTTACGTTTTGTCTCATTGAATGTCAACTAAATTGACGTATCTAACAAATCAGTGAATATAAAGTGCGATGTTAAAGCATCCGGAAGAATATGTAGTTCACTTTGATGTCTAGGTGATCAGTAGTGTGCAGTATGTGCATTACGCGCCTGTGCAAAGAATAGTCTAGTAAAACAATTGTGTATTGAGAATCTTAACGCTAATTTTTTTAGTTCTACCCTATATTCCTGAATGTTGTCCACACTCTCAAATGTGTAAACATTGTCGTGTATTTCAGAATTAGTGAATTTTCCTGTAGATGTGGCAATAAATAATTAGAGGCATCAGTTATCAAAATCGGTTACTATGACAACTATGCTTCTTTATTAAATATGGAATTCAAGCACTTAGACCAGTGAACCACAGCTTTACTGTTGTCTTATTCGAAAGTCAGGAGATTTACACACACCCACATTTTATGTAAGTATTCACTGTATTCACTTAAACCAGTTGATTATAGTTTACAAACGAATGATTCTCATTAAACAGCGTATAGTATTATACTGTTCTTTGAAATAGTTTAGACGTGATGGTGATTTGTACCTCACGTGAATGAGCTAAACTGTTTAATTGTGGAACTTTCATCGTTCATCCGAACTACATATTTGGCGCTCAGTTCAATCAGAAATAAGTTTTTAGATTTCTCTGTGAGCGTTATGACTTCCCTTGCCAATGACCTTGAACGAAATTAATTTTTCACTGTCTTATTCACTTGAATCGATCGTGATTATTTTGTTGACCTGATATATGACCTTTCGTCCATATGACTCCTTTTTAATGGCTTTGTAAGCCTTTGGAAACATTTCGCTTTTCGTATCTACTGTGGTATTACACACAGAGTGCAAATAATTCCTAATTATTATTACTTTTTTACTTTTCTCCCACTTTAGCCTACTGGATTGCACATTATGCAGTAAAATCACTTATTGAATCAGATGACAAAATTATTGATACTGAGTATAACATGGAAAATGTACGAAAAGTCGTTTATTCATATTTCAGCATAGAAAATAATCTAGACTTACTTCAACATTTTTATACAAATTTCAGTAAAAATAAAATAGCTGGTTTGTGTGAACATCTTTCTATAAGTGAGTACATTAATATTTGTTTTGTGTAACACATGCTTTCAACTGAGTTATTTATTTATATTTTTTGCAGATGATCATTGAATATTTCTTATCAGGTAAACTTTACACGTAGAAGGTTAAACGCATCAATATTTGATGAATTTACGTATTTATATAACCCTTTAGTTAAGAAAGAAATATATATTGATCGACAGAAAGCGTTATTGCACTTGTAAGTTAATCATATGCACGTTTCCAATGAGGCCCTTATTCCTATTCTGAACTCGAATTAACTTCACTTAGCTCTATAGTTCAGGATAACTTGTCATTTGTTTTTTTTCAAATCATTTTACGCTTTGATTTGTATTAGACTATGTGTGTGCGGCTGATTCGTATAAGGACTCAGCTTTCAATCAATGATCCAGGTGTTCGAATCCCACTTTACTTCTTTCAAACTGAGCAGCCTGGCAGTTACATTAGCCCTTACATAATAAGTGTTGCTCATAGTCTGGTACTTGAGAAATTAATTCTCTTTAACTGAGTTCAAACTAAACTAAGATTGGTTATAGGATTTCATCATGAGCTGACATTGGTTAGAGAACCATTGGAAAACCTGGGAGTACTGGACAGCTGTTTCGTCCTAGTTTGGGACTCTTCATCAGTACGCACCCACAGGGGTTCGGACCCAGGACCTTCTGGTTACAAGGCGAGCTCGTAGACCATTAAGCCACTGGGACCGGATCCAATTGTCCATGAATTCGAACTTCTGCTAATTCACGATATAGCGCAACCGCTAGCCAATGACTTCGGCGAGTATTTGTCCTCACACCTGACGTGCTGCACCCTACTGGTCACGACTTCCCATTGGAATCCCAGGTAACTACCTACCTGAATAGGGTCAGTCGCCAGTGAGCATCTCATTGGTACTCAAGTATATTCAAGTATCCCTACAAACCAATACTTGAACTAAGATTGTCTATCTTCAAGGAATCTACATAAGTATGTGTGATCTATCATAGGTGGTTAAGTGCGAATTCAAATTGTGTTTTTAATCACAGATAGGGATTTTTCACCAACTGTATTCAAACGACTGTTGCAGCATGTTAGGCAAACTTGTAATTCAATACTGTATTTGCGTGTTTACAACTTTGTATCAGTAAGACAATAATACATTTCATACGATAGTTGATCTCATGATTTAAGTCATTCTGTGAATTTTCTGTCCAAAAATTCATGAAATATGCAAAACCTGTCAATAAGGCCTACTGAGTAGATTTTTTTTGCCATTATACTACTTGTGCGTGTATCGTTATTGTGCACTATATTTATCTTATAACGAAGCTTTCTTTATTTTGTTTTTCTTATTTATCAATCTATTGTGTCCATACCACTTTTTTTCTTCTTTTAGTTGCGCGGGATGGAGATGAGTTTTCGAAATCTGTTTTTCGTGAGGCAGGTATACAGTTAGCCCGTCATGTTAGAGGCGCTTTATATTATGCCGTTCAGGTAAGTGATTTTGTTGTTTTCTTATTTAATTAAACTGGGAGTTGCATGACATCCTGAAACTATTTAATGACAGTCATCTTGCTATCTGGTTCACCTTAGAAAAAGAAAATGAGGTGAAAATATCTTTTTCTTGATGTGCTACTCACAAGGAGAGCTGGTGAGTCTTTGAAAAAATTGAGTCACAAAAAATTGACATGGCTGGAACAACTAACTAATTTTCATAGTTTTGTCCCTATAAACAAAAAAATAAATGTAATCCGTTCTCTCTCAACACGGGTCCGGAGAATTTGTAGTGAAGAATGCTGATGATGAACTCAAACAATTGAAAGAAGCCTTCATTTTGAACGGGTATCCACTACGCTTCGTTGAGATCAACAGCAAATTACGTGGAAGAGATACAGAAATTGACAGGGTAACTAAAAGTGTTGCACCCAAACTTAGAATTGAGCGGTGACACTGCCAGTGAGGTACTTAAAAATTATCCGACGAGATCATTGAGAAAAAAGTTCTTTGCTGACACTTTTAGAATAACCCACTCCATTGTACAGTCTATTGGTGCACCTTAATGTCAAGGAAATGTTGCCTCGATTGTCTAATTCCATGTGTATTTTTATATGTTCAGCTGCTCTTGCAGAGCTAGGTATATAGGAATTTCGTTAAGAAACATATCCCACCGCGTTCCAGAGCACCTCCCAGCTTGTCTGAGCAAAAGAGAGCGTAGAGGTATTAATTCATCGGTATTGAAACATATTGTAGATACTGACTACGATGCCAGCATCTAACAGATCGTTTAATATAGTCTAAAAAGTTTACCGAAAGGGACACGAGTGCATTTGTTTTGTATAACACAGGCTTTGGCATTACATAACATAAAGCCAGAACTTTGTATAGAAAAACAATTTGTACGATATCTTTCGTTACCATGGTCTTGATTTTACTATGTAATTCACTTGAAAACGTTGTTATGCTTCTTTCCTCAATGTTCCATTTTTGTTTTATTTTACTTTATGTTGTAATATTCGAACACTTTATTTTATACCTTCATCATTCACACATTCACATTCTTGAATGTACTTTATCTTCCCATCATCCATTTCACACATGTCTGTTGAACTTTAATCTCTATAAATAGAGATTAAAGTTCAACAGTTATTTAGTTATTCATTCATATGTCTAGTCAATTTTGACTCCAGCCTATACACCAATATTATCAAATAAATTAAAATTGTATTTCAATAGTTTATATATATATATATATATATATATATATATATATATATATATATATATATATATATAGTTTATTTGTTTTTGTCCATTAATTTTTGTGTATCCAGGTTGTTGACAGTTGTGCTGAGTCACCCTTGTTACATGTATCCGGCGTGACCTTAATCAATACTAGATTCTGTTATTAGTCTCCCTTTTCACTTTTTCATATTAGATTTCAAAAAACAAACATTGTTCCATAGAGGAAGATATCGGATAAGACCTATTGTAGACCTATTTCAGAAACACACCAGCTTATATGCTGTCAAGAATTCTGCCAACAATATTAAGATCAACAAGAGACAATTCAAAAACTAGAATAGTTGATTTAGATGAATTAGTGAGACGACCTAGAACCACTAAAATAGACGAAGAGCAGATACTAATCAGCTTTAATGTAAGCAGTTTCTATACTGAAATACCCATTCAAATGGCCATTTATGCACTGAAAATGAAACTAAAAGGTGATGGCCTAAAAGATGGGGCACAATTATCCGTAGAAGTGATGATAATAAAATAATAATAATAATAACAGCTTTATTCCAAACAGTATTTGTGGTACAGGTATGGAATTTTCAGCGTGCATTACAGTATATTGCATCTAATTACCTCATAAATTATATAAGATTTTTAAAAATCAAAAATACATAAAAATAAAATAAATAAGTTATAAATAAGTTATAAATAAATAAAATAAATAAATATTGAAAATTAAGAAAAAAAACAGCGTAGAGTATTTCATTTCAAACAATGCACCACAGGATGTTGAATTCCGTCTAACAACAACATATTTTACATTCAAAGGAAAAATATACCAACAAAATGAAGGAGTAGCTATCGGTTCGACCATCTCACCAATAATAGCTGACATATTCATAGATTTTTGAGAAGAGAATGCGCTTAAACCATTTCAGTCATCAATAAAGTGTTGGTGGAGATATTTAGGTGACATTAGTAATAATGAAAAAGAATGTCGAAAATTCTTCTCACACAATAAAATTCACTATGCAAATACAGAGTGATATTGGGGAACTGCCCATGTTAGACTGCAGAGTACGAAGAGTAACGAATGGCAGCATAAAAATGACGCTAGATAGAATAATACACACTCCAGGAGATTCCTTGATTGTCACTCAGCTCATCCACTCACGGGGTTTAGTACAAGATCTTGCAGACAGAATACCTAGAATTACAGCAACACCAAATGACCAACGAAAATAAATAAACATCTTATTCAAAATGTTATTTGACAACAGCTACCCACAATAATTTATCAGTGATAATATAAAGAAGAAAAAAGAGAGGGTAAAACCAGAGAATGCAAATAAGGAAGATCGCAAAAAATGATCACGATAGCATACAAAAATGGTACATCAGAGGTAATTCGCAAAAACCTTGAAAATATTGGGATTCATACCATGTTTAAACCAATGAATCTAATTGAAAGTAAAATAAATAAAGATGATGGATAAAAATAATGCAATTTACAAAATATCTTGTACAAAGTGTCCGACTAAAAACATGGGTCAAACGTCCAGATCACTCAAAATAAGAGTGAATGGACATAAACGCCTAACTAAATGTTATCCCACAGGAATATAAGCTTATGACAATTTAAAAAAAATCCCACTATAGCTGCACAACAATCGGACAAAAACCACAATATCGATTGGCAAAATATTTGTTTTCTAAAACCTAATATGAACAAGTGAAAAGGGAGACTAATAACAGAATCTAGCATTCATTGAGGTCACGCTGGATACATGTAACAAGGATGACTCAGCACCACTGTCAACAACCTGGATATACGAAAATTAATGGACAAAAACAAATAAACTATGTTTATATGAGTAGAAATTATAAAAGTGTGAATTAAAAACAAAACAATCCCAACAGTTGGTGAGATCACGGGCAGTAATTTTGCTGGAAATATTAGCAAAAGCAAAAACTTATCATTGTGTGTAAACTTTTGAAACGCACAAAAATCTGATTGTTATTGTCCATTGTAATTCATATGTATATGTATGATTCTGCAGCTATGAAAATGAAATAATCGAAAAGAAAATTTTCTCCGCTGAATTCTTTGTTTTCATGTTTTCTTATCATACCCGTGGCACAGCAGTAGAATGCTCGCCGACCACGCTTGTGGTTCGGTCGTCGGTCCCAGGCCAACGCTCTCCTTCACATCGCTAAGCCAGTAAGAAGACTGGTAAAGAATGAAGGTTGGGCATGTAGCTAGCAAGCCCTTCCAATCTGATGCTCACTAGCGACTGACCCTATTCAGGCAGTTAACCTGAGGTTCTAGTGGAAACTCGTGATCCATAGGGTACAGCAGGCTGAAGATGAGGCTGTAACTCATCGAAGAAGACATTGCGAAATGGTCGCACTATGTCGTGAATTGGCAGAAGTTAGAATTCGAGGACCATTGGATCGGGTCCCAGTGGCTCAATGGTCTACGAGCTCGGCTTGTAACCAGAAGGTCCTGGATTCGAACCCCTGTGGGTGCGTACTGATGAAGAGTCCCAAACTAGGACGAAACAGCTGTCCAGTACTCCCAGGTTTTCCAATGGTTCTCTAATTGATGTGAGCTTTTGATGAAATCCTGTAACCAATCAATCAAATCCCTACAAACCAACACTTGAACATTATAAATTAGATTAAATAATCCCAGCATGTTTAAAAAAATGAGATTTTTATGGAAGTTTCTCTATGTAAGATTTTAACGCTGTCACGGTTAAACTGATATTCGCAGTTGTTCACGTGAATTGATTTGAATGACTCGACTCTTATGGTCTACATATTATAGAGCAAACATACTGTGTTAGTTTATGAGTGGTAACTAGACCAAGGATTTTTAATATTCCAGTAGTAATTTCGAAAACGTTTTAATCAAAGTCAATTGTTTTAAGTATTTCTGCTGCTACACTGCTAAAACATTATTCTTTTTCTAACCAGAAAACTTTTGCAAGTAGTGATAATAGTAGTTTATTTAAGGAATTCAATAGATTTGTTTAGGAATCCGGTTGGTTAAAGAGCTGCTTCTAAGATGCACTATGGATATATGCTTCACAATCGACAACGTTTATAATAAACAGATCGATGTTATTGCCATGGGTTCTCCATTAGTTCCAGTCTTGGCGGATTTATTTCATGGTTAGTTTGAAACTGCTTCAATAAAACAATTTAATTTGTATAATAGAAGAAAACGGAGGGTGAGTTAAAAACGAATAAAAGAATAGAATATTTACAAGTAAAAAAGGTAATAATGGAGGTCATTTTAGTTCGTGAGTTGGTAGCTCAGCGGTAGAATGCTCGTTAACCATGCACTAGGTTCGGCTGACATACTCCTAAACCTCGCTTAGCCAGCAGTTAGTCTGGAAAACAAGGAATGCTGTGCGTAAGGCTAGCAACCTTATACCGCTGATGAAAATTCAGTTCTGAAGCATGAAGCCCTGTGTTCAACTCATTACGAGAATCAATGAAAAAAGATGACACAGTACTTGGTAATATAATCAGATAAGAAATATTTGGGTGGGTTAGATGTAAGAATAGAATTTCAACTTGTAACTCTTTGTTAACGGAAAACTTCTTTGAAAGGAATTAAAAGAATGGTTACTGAACAAAGAATGTTCTTTTCGATAACTTCATCATTAGGTTCTACAGTTATATATACATAATAGCGAATGATTTAGTGTTATTGACAACATTAATGTTTAAATAATATTGAATGAACAATAATATCAATAGGTTACAGTTCGATAGCATCAACATAACAAAACACTGAATATCAGAAAAATAATAATACATATTTATGAATTTATAGTCACTACTGAAGGTCAGGGCATTATTAGTGGCTGTACGTGGCTCTACTGCAAACAGAGCACCGGCTGTTAAAGGCGAATTGCAATAACCTCTGCCATTTGGAGCATGCGGTACCTGGATGCTTCGTAGATTTGTTTGGTACCGGACAGATGATGGAGAAGGACTCTTCAATATTAACGTTGTGGCCGGTTTGGACGAGATGATTTAATATTGTGCTATTGATGCTTTTCACTACACCTTTATTTACCCACACTGGTAGACCGTGAAAGCTTCATAATTGTTTTGGTATTATCATTTTAATCTTTAATTTAGGTCAACAGGTGCAATTTGTTGCAGATTTAAAGTGCCCATCTTCCCGCTGTCTTCGAAGTTGCCTTGCATAGATGAGGAGTTAATTAATAATTTTAATTAATTTTCCCTTCACATTCCCAGTGAAACATAGGGCTTTAAGCTAGAGGCTTGAAATTTCTGTCGCAGTGTTTATTTTTACAGGATGGGCTTGCTAGCCTCATGCCCAACCTTTCCTCTTTACCAGCATTATTTCTGGATTAGCGACGTAAAGGAATGCGTTAGTGGCCGGGGATCGAAACCCGGACCCGGCGAGCGTCCTAACCGCTGTGCCACCGACGCACAGTTAGTTAGTGATAGCATAAATCTCTATCACTCTGTTTTTGTCTTTTCACAATTACCAAATTAAATCACATATAACTGTGTTACTCTTACCTTTCTCCTGGACTTATAGTAAATGAAACACTGCGGTTCCTCGAAGATTAAATTCACTTTAAAGGCGTTAACACTGAATACAAATACCTTTTTCGAGAATAATTTTGTTGTGATCTTGATTTCACACCCCTTACTAACCGTCCTATTTATATTTTCAACTTTAATCGTCTAAATGATTTTATTTTTTTTCTCTTAAGGATTCAACACCACAAAATGCAAATATGATAGTTATCTGTTGTGGTTCAGCATTCAAGAGTTGGGATTTATTCAGAGACGGTAATCTCCATTTTTAATCTTTGATTCTGTATTACTCCCAAGTTAATATTTACATTTTTAAAGTTGCGCGGTCTTGTGTTTGTCCAATTGTGAATAATGCATTCGTGGAATAAGCAACTTACGCCTCACTGGTTTGAAGGCGCCTTTCGAGACGGCTGAAAGTGCTCACCTTCTGTAGAAGATTTCATCACAAATCGATATAAGTTACAAAACCAATTAAAGAGAAGGTGCACAATAACTAGCTTACTGGAGAATAAACTTAGACTTTTCAAAGAACTGCATCAGTTAGGGTTTTTACACTTCGAAGTTGCACACCAAATAGGGAAAAGAAACGTACACATACTGCAGTGTAAGAATGTTTATGTTAACAAAAGATTGTTAAAACTTCTCAGAAAGTCAGGAAGACAGTATAATTCATTGTTAGTTAAATTGATTATTTAGATTTATGTTCCATGGGTAGACTGTTTTCAACAAAGTTTAACGAATAATCATTAATTCCAAGGGTTCTGCAAAAGTAATTTTTCTCATGTCTTTTATAGCTTTTCGATGTTGTAATGAGTCTTAGATCATGTAAAGAACAGCAAATAGTCTAGATAAGGGCCCATGAAGCTTGAAAACACTTCGATTCTTCATCAGTGCTGACAAAGTCATTTATTCGGATAACTAAACGCTCACGATTATATATCAAAGCTTGATTTTCGAAAACACTCAATAAAAACCTCCGTCATTGTGAGTTAAAATTCTTTGTATTAGTAATACTGACTATGTGACGATATAACACAAAATTTTACTCAAAAAGAAAATTTGTTCAGTTTGACACATTTCTAAACCAAATAAACAAGAAATGTAAGCAAATCATGATGGACGAGAATGTATCAGACAGAAGATAATTAAATATAAATACTGTTGAAGCTTTTTTAGAATGTGGAAGACGATCAGAAATGAATACATTAACAGTTTTGTGGAAAAATTCGCGAATCACCAATTATTGATTCTTATCCTCTAGATTCTAACCAGATAGTCTAAAATTCCTTTTTTTATGGCTTATATCAATGACTGGTGATGCTGCAAACTGACCTGTTTTTGAAAATGTTTACTTAATTCGTAATTTTCTGATAGCAGTACACCGTCTACAATTGAAAGTCCTCCACCACCTCACTTTATCTGGTGTTCCTCAAGGTGCTGTTCTTTCTCCTTTTCTGTTTTATTTTTTCTTACATGACTTGCCCCATTCTGATGTAGCCACTTTTGTTAAGTATGCTGATGACCTCTCTGTTTATATACCTGTCAACTCTCAGTCAGATTGTTTCAAATTAAATAACTTTCTGTCGGAAATTAGTCAGTGGCCCTCTTCAAACGGTCTAAAGCTGAATTTGTCTAAATGTCAGGTAGTCAATTTCACTTTCAGACGTAAACATGACCTACAACAACTAGCTAGTTCACATGGCCCACTATCATTGACGGCATAGAGGTTGAAAATACATCTAATGTCAAGTACCTTGGGCTGAGTTTTACCACCGATCTTTCCTGGTCCTCCCACATCTTGCTAGTTACTAGAAAATGTTTAGCTTAACATTCTACGTTAGGAAATTTAGGCAGTCTGGCATAAAGCAGTCTTTGCTTTCTCAGTTTGTAAATTCTTGCATTCTACCCATCCGCCTTTACTGTTCCCCAATAATCTTTCCTGGACTACTTAAGAAAGACTCCGCTTTGCTGAGAAGGGCACTAAAAGCCGTTAGTAGGGCAAGTGGGATATCGTTAAACCAACTGGTTAACACTATTGTGGATACACATATAATGTCATGTAATAAACTAGCGAATACAATATTGTCAGATCCCGAGCATCCTCTCCATACACAGCTCTTTCCTTGCATTTCATCTGGTAGAGCTAGAAGCGGCTATAGGAGGCTATATGCTAGGACTACCAAGTACAAAAACTCCACAATACCATATCTGGCACAGCTGTTATGTGATGAGAAATCCGTTAGGTATGACACGATCAACTTACTGCGCCACTCCAACAAATAGTCCCATTAGTTTTTGTTTTCCTTTCTTCGTTACTATTATATTATTGTTCACGTCTTCTGTTACACACTAATTTTATATTTCATATCCTTGTGGTGCATTGTTTAAAATGTAAACGCAATGCTTTTCTTTTTATTTCTTTTTATTTATCTATTTTTTTTGGTTTTTGCTTTTTGATTCTTATAAAATTTATGAGGTAATTAGATGCAATATTGTAATGCACGCTGAAAATTTCATACATGTACCACAAATACTGTTTGGAATAAAGCTGTCATTATTATTATTATTATTAATTATCCTCGTGGTTAAGCTTTAAAGCAGCTTACATTCATGTTAAATTAATAATCTGTCTGTAATCATCATTTGCTCAATGTGAATGAAATATTTCCCAGATAATTCATCTCTGTTATAAATTAAAAACCGATAAACATGGTTTATTGTATTAGATGGTTGGAGGCGATCGGTAGGCAACCCTGGACCTAGGTTTCGTGCTAGTTGCTGCTCATCAGCAAGGCGCATCTGCAACCTATAAAAAAATTATATCCCTTCTGTGATTTCAACCTGCATCACCCAGTGCTGCACTCAGGGACATTATCACTGAGCTATTCGGACTCGCGATTGACCCCTTGTAGGACTGACTGTATTAGATACTTTGACTGGACACTGGTAACTAGTGTGATGTGTCTAGTCCTTTCTTTAGAGTAGGCTGAATTCTATCAGTCATCAAATCAGTGGTTTATTGTGTTAAATGTGGTTGGGTTTCAATCGCGATATGTGAAAACTTCCAAGTAATCAAACTACATTCAAGTTGTTTGATCTACTTTACCAGTATGTTTAATCCTAAGCTATCGTGAGTTAATAAGTAAATTCGTGTACTCAGAGCAGATTGGAACCTTTTGTTCTACTGATTAGTGAATGCTGATGCCTAAATTGGTACATCTTAAGTTCAAACGTTGATCATATCAAATGTTATTGTCCTATTAATGATTCGAAAAGTTACATTATGATTATTTGTGTTGAAAAGCTATTAATATATTGTCAAAACAGTGATATTATACTGTCATATCATTGTCGTTCATAAACATTCCTAAGGCGATTACCTCTAAACCGTAATATTTCGATGAATTTAATATAGTTAACGTCAATCTGTACTGACCAAATTGCAACTGTACGCATCATCATCGAACAAAGCATGGAATGGTGATCAAACCTCTACCTCAACTTTATAGACTTTGAGAAGGCCTTCGACAGCGTTGACCGTAAAGTAATTTGGAAATTACTCGAGTACTATGGCGTACCCCAAATATTCATCAACCTTATTCAACAGCTGTACGACAATGGCACATGTCAAGTGATCCACAACGGAAAACTCAGAGAGGCGTTTGGAGTAAACACAGGAGTCAGACAAGGGTGCTTACTATCACCAATGATATTCCTAATTGTGGTGGACTGGATCATGCGTCAGACAGTGGGAAACGAGAAGACAGGAATATCCTGAGCCGACGTGAAGAACCTAGAAGACCTGGATTTCGCGCGTGGATGATTTATGTTTGATGTCACACACAATCGAAGACTTACAAGCGAAAACCGACAAACTGGTCGAAGAAGCAGCCGGCGAAGACAGGACTCCAGGTAAACATAGACAAGACGGAGGTTATGAAAATAACCAACCAACAACAGCAGCAACATCCAACGTCAATCACCATCAACGGGAGGGATTTGAAAGAGGTTACTTTATTCACTTATCTAGGGAGCATTGTTTCAACTACAGGAGGAGCGGACGAGGATGTCAAATCGAGAATCGGGAAGGCGAGAAACACATTCATCAGCCTGAAATCAATCTGGAAATCTTCGTCACTCAGCATCACCAACAAAATTCGGATTTTCAATACAAACGTAAAGTCAGTTCTTCTATACGGATCAGAAACTTGGCGGGTAACAAAGAATATTTCCAAAAGGCTGCAGACCTTTTTTAACAACTGTCTTCGCTCTATACTGAAGATCAGATGGCCGGGCCGGAAATAATCACCAACAAGGAATTATGGGAACAAACAAAGCGATAACCAATCGCCCAACAAATATGCAGGAGAAAGTGGAGATGGATCGGACACTCGCTGAGGAGACCGCTGGGTGACATCGCGCGTCAAGCCCTCGAGTGGAACCTGAAAGGGAAGCGGTGTGTGGGACGTCCAAGGGTGACATGGAGAAGTGAAGAGGAGTTGAAAGAATATGGACTGACGTGGATGCAGGCGAAAAGTACAGCAGAAAACAGAAGCAAATGGAGACGTGCAGTTGAAGCCCTATGTTCCACTAGGAACCCAAGGGAGCAATAATAATAATAACGTCAATCTCCGTTAGTTACTTAGCGAATCGTTTAGTCTACTTGAGTCAACAGTTGACTGACATTATCTCTTAGAGTATTGTCCATTTTGTTATTGCATACTAATACATGATCTTATATGAGTGCAATCATGGCAAATTATCATTATAATGGTCGTGTGTATCTGTTCATCTATCAGTTTTACCACTGTGTGTCGCATTAATTAGTCTATTATAACAATTTTTTGTTTATTTTTCTTAGGTTTCTGTGATTTTCTAAAACCTACTGGAAAGGATAAATGGTCTGGCACTTTAACTTTAGTTCAACTGAAAACTAGTGCAGCTTATGGTGCAGCTCGTCTTTCAGTTTATTTTGATTATAAACTAAAAATTCCATTACCACCAGATTCTTATGTGAAATTCGATGAATTTACTGCCGGTATACGTTTTTAAATCAAAAAAATATCTCTTGGTCTTATGCTTATGTTTATTTAATTTTCAACTCAGGATTTATATATTATCATCCTATTTTAGTAATAATTTTTTGAGATGTTGTTTTTGTACTCAGAAAACTTTGTTTGTAAACATTCATTTTTGATTCTAGTATTTTGTTAGGTGTAGTGTGATTTCGTGTATTTGAAGAATACACTTCATTCCTTTTGTATCTTTCATTCATCTCTTCTACCATATTATCAAAATTCGAATTGTATTGCATCATTTTCAAGGGTAATTGAGTATTTATCAACAAAAGGTTAAATGATGCGTACTTTACTGGAAGCTAGTAAATTAGGTTACGACAGTTTTGTATTTCTCCTTGAAATGTTGGTTTACTATGCGAGCTGTCGTTGTCTTCGTTCTGTAATGGAAGGTTAGTCAAAACGAGTTCACATTCTAAAATAAAAATCAACGGAAAAATTCCAAACGAAACTTGTCGAAATGGTTTGCAGGGAATTGACTGGTTATAGGTTTTATCATGAGCTGACATTAGTTAGGGAGCCACTGGAAAACCAGGGAGTACTAGACGGTTGTTTCGACCTAGTTCATAGTACCAACCCAGCGGGATTCGAACCCAGTACCTCCCAATCACAAGGCGAGCTTGTATACTGTTCAGCCAGTGGGACCGCCTCCAACGGCCCACGAATCTTAACTTCTGCGAAGTCATGATGTATAGCGCAACCACCAACCGTTGTCGTTGTTGGGTAACTGTTCTCTCATCCGACTGGGTGGTTGCCGCTGTTCATGGTTTCTTACTAGAACTCCAGGTAACTACTCCCTGTATAGAGCCAGTTACCAGTGAGCATCAGAATAATTTTCAAGTAGTAGTTTACAAAGATGTGATTGGTTACAGGCTTGATCGCGAGCTGTACTCCTTGGTTTTCCAGTGGTTCTCTAACTGATATCAACTCGTGATCGAATCCGGAAATTATGGTATTCAAAAAAATTCAGTAACCAGATAAGAAGAGCCACACAAAATTTATAATGGAAATTCCATTCATTGCATTGGTCCTACTAATTCCCCTATTAAATAACGGATCATTAATGAAGCGAGGCTATATTTAATCAGTACCATGCTATTTCTTCAAGTACAAACACCCAAATATGCGTGAAAGACATCATAAAAGGAGAGAGAAAGATCGATATTTTTAAAAACAAAGGTCAAACGTGAATCAGTTCAAAGATCATTCCAATAAATCAACTCAGAAGAGACAAAGACACACAAAATCGCGTAAGTGTGGTATAAAAAATAATAGACCAATCAGAACCACAGCAAACTTGATTAAACATTATCCTGCTGTTCGGTGCACTATAAGTAAGCATTTTAAAAAGGTCTGATACTTAGTTTCTTAAGAAGAAGGATGAGTAAGATGCCCAGACTAGAATGAAAAAGCACTGAAATTCAGAGAGCAGGAATACCTTCTGATTAGTGTTGCTGTTTTCACCAAGTGTGTAATTATGCAACGCATAACAACTGACCAGCTTGGGTGTATGATTCAGATATCTTCAAGTTAGTGCAGAATTCATTATAATTTGTATTTCTCAATGAATGAAAAACAAAACGATATCGTTTTTACTGACGTTTCGCCATTTAATGCTAATAGCTTTATCGAAGTATTCAAACCTCCAGAATTCTTTATGATTAACTAGAGCTATGGAAAGTATGATTCATTATTTTCCGAAGTTTGTATTTCTCAACTGATAAAACAATAGAATAAAGTTATGTATCCTCATCTAATGCATAAACCTTCAAGTTACTAAATAAATTTGTTTTGAATATCAACAAAATTTGTTTGTTTAGGTTACTTTGTATCCTCCCTTCATTGATTTTATCGGGCCAAAATGCTCCGTCTCTGTTCACTTGTCGGCTGATGATAGGGATGTTTCAACGATTCCTTGAGATTAACATCACATTACTTCGTTGATGGTGACTGGCAGTGGAATCTAGGATATGAATTCGTTCCAACCTATGACACTTCGCCTAGATGTGCTTGCATTCTCAGTGAGTGATAATGTTGCAGCTGGAACTGGAAACCACCATTCATCTTCTCAAAGGTCAAAGTGCTATCCACTAAGAGACTGAACAAGGAGAATCGAATACCTGTTGTGAAATGGATATCAGTTATTGTTTATTTAAGTTTCTTTGGATCAAGTAACATCCTATGGATCTGTAGTTTATTTATGAAGTTCTACAAAGATCTGTTTAGTTTTAATACAATAGGGAAATGTCAAATGCTGGCTTATAGGGATTTGTGAAATGTTTAAAGAAACGAATTGTTTATTGTTACACTAATAAGTGAGTAATGAGACTTATTGAAATCGACAGAATGAACATTTGTTAAAAGATTTTTGAATTATGATAAGACAAATAAGGAACGAAATATTCCCATATTGAGTCATAAGAAAAAGATGTAAACAGCGAAGAAAATTTTGTTTTCGACGATTTATTTTCCTAAGCTGTACAATCGCAACTATATTTAACAAGACCAATCAGATACTGGTAAAATTTGTCCTTGAAAAGTGTATTACGTAATAAAAAGGTATAACCTAGATGGGGTGTCGAACTGAAAGTTAGAAAAGAGGCAGAGTTTGGCATGGCGTAATAAGTGCGGGATAATGATTAATCAATAAGGTTGTGTAGAATTGACAGGAACTGGTTGAAAGACGGACAATAAAGTGTTTTTATATAAAGTCCGTATGAAAAGGCAATTTCATCTTCACTGTTTACGTCTTTTTCTTATGACAATGAAGGAAGGATAATTCTCTCCATTTCCAGTTGTAAACGGAGTTCGACACCATATTCACATCTGTTATCTAAAAAGAGATGCACTATTAATTGTATAAGCTACTATTCTATTAACGCATAAGTTATTTATTTGATCAATCCTCAAATGTGTCGTTTCAAACTGTCTTACTGTGAAATATCACTGAAAGTATGAATTAAATATTATGTGCCCCTAGATATGGCTGACGTTTTGTTTCTCGAACACCGAATCGTTTTTTATTACTCAAACGCACTCGATGAAAAGTTCTCCTAATGTTACATAATTAGACTTTGACATATTAAAACACACAATAAGCAACTGCTGAGAATGAATTCACCATTCTTCAGCACTATTGACACCAATAATCTATTTAAAAGTACATCTGAAATTATTTCATCGAAAAGGATGTTCCCATTTATTAAGTCTATTAATAAACAGTAGTGATGTTAGGTTACTGGAAGCAATCGAGAGGTAGCTCTCGATCTTGGTTTCGTGCTTGTTGGTACTCATGAACAAGGCGTATTTACAAACTTGAAGGAACTAATATCTCCTAATAGATTTGATGGAGATGAATGCCAACTTAATTTCTTCAAATTGAAGTATGCGCTGAAGATGTCACCCAGTAAGGTGATGAAAGCTTCGCAAACTAACCATCCAGCTCAGAGAACAAAACCACATCAAAATAATTTCAGAGCTTCATGCCAACTGCGTCAAACTAATCTAACACCAATTCAAATTGCACCACAACGATAAGTCACCCAGCTTACTGACCGCTTTGTAACCATCGCTGACAGAATCCAGTTAGTATCAACACAGTGTAGACTAGGAACATTCCTGAGTGATCGATTAGTGAACAGGATGCTAAGCGATATCTAAAATACTTATCCAACTAATTTCGAAAGCTATTCTAAGTTGATTTTTTATGAATGATAACTGGCTTCCATCAAGATTACAATTTCTTTATTTCAGTTATGTGTGGACTCTCGATACCAATTGCTCAACTCCAAATGAATGGGACTATCACTTGCCAGGCACCCTCATTGTCAGGCTTTTAATGATAACACCCTGGCTACACATATCTGTCTAGGTGGGTTGTGGCGTTCGAGCCAATGACCTAGTGCATTACGTAAACTGATTAGCCGAATTTCCAATATCTTAGGAAACATATATACTATGTAATTATCTGCTTCATGCCATTACATGATTGAATCAGTGTCTTAACAATTCCATTCTCGTACGTCTTCACTAGACAGTCCCATTTCAAATTATTAGACCTTGGCATCCCAATAGTGATATTTCTAGTGAACTTACATACTGGAAGAATTACCGACTGAAATCCTATCGTTGATTCCACTCAGTGTACAATATATTGAATCAGAAGCCGAGATTGTTTGTTCATTTTTATTATATTCTTTGCATCTTATGTAGAATATATGAATCATTCACCAGTATCATATGCACACTTTAAAGCAGTTCATTTTCAGTAACGCATAAGGCGAACAGAACGTTTTGGTTCACCAATCAACAGTGTTGGATTATTCATAAGAATTCGTCTTAGTCTGTTTGCATTGCTCACATATGATCTTCCAACTCTAGGAAATGATTTAGAACGCTCTTCCCGACTGAATGTGTCTATGTTCTCAGGTTCATCGTTTAATGCTTCATATAAAGGTTCGCTGTCCTGTATATGCTTCAAACAATTGGTTAAGGAAGCTGAAATGCAAGGAGAAAAAGTTATGTAAACATCTGTAGAAAGAAAAACTGGTTGAATAAATAAATAAAACTGGTTAGTAGTCTTGCAAGAAAATTCATAGGGTTTTAATCTGCATGATTTTTGGAGTAAATAGTATACATTCTTGTTTATACAACCCTCCAGGTGTATATTATGCAGTCAGCCTAAACAAAATTATGACGTAATAGATGAGCATGCACTATTAGTGTAAGGAATCGCACTACCTTTTTTCAGAAAGAGGTTAGCGTTATTAACTAAATTTGTCACACAGAGATCGGAAATGTTTTGATTCAATCACTCATTATCGTATCAACCTAATAATTACTTCGATTTTAGTGAGCAGGCAGTTCATATATATTCGATTGAATACATTTTAGAAGAATCGTTTTCTTGGTGCTTATCAAAACAGTATGATTGAGACCCCTCTAGTGCTAGTCAACAGAGTACTAATGTTTGATTGTGTTCAAGGATTCAGATCATTTTGTGGAATATAACACGACGTCCTTCCACATGTTAAATATCATGTCTCATATATTTTTCTCTTAATATACAAGTCAAATATTTTCAATTATAATAAACTCCTTAAATTGTCTGTCAGTATTTTAATGATGACTTTTTAACCGAAGAACACTAGAGTAATCTTTTTGTATCTAGGCTTTGATTATAACAGTTCTAGATGGGTTTTCAGTGTTTTAGTGGGCAGGAAATTAATTTCCCCACAGATATACTTTAGTCTACATCACTTTTACTAAATGATACGCTCTCAAAAATTAAATTATTCTGATATGCTTGAGAACATTCATTCCACTCCGAAAAATTTGACTTCAACTTTTTATGTGGGAGATAAGAACTTGATCTAAATAACCAACTAGAAATAAGATATGTGAAAGTAGACTTAACAAAAGAAGACGTAAATGAATAGAAATCGATCTAGGAAGTGTTATGACATCGAAGAGTCTACTGTCAGCTCTTTTTATTCATGTGTACTGCAAAATGACACCAGACAGGGACAACAAATATGAGAGTTTGGCAAGCACTCTGGTTGTTTTTTTGTTTCCTCATTATGACTCTTTCTGGATACATTCAGTAGAATGCATTTTTTTTACAATCTTGGTCTGAGAGAATTATGTTATCTGAGTAGTTAGTGATGTGAGCCTTTCTGTAAGACTACTTGCAAGACTACTTCTAAGATATCCAATTCAATGACAGTCAACTCTATCAGTATGCCCAAAGCAAAAATTAGTATAAATAGTGACAGTAACCCATCTTGTGCCACATCACTGTTTGTCATCAGTTAAGATGACAGCATAGCATTCACTTTAATATGACTTATTGAGTTCAACTGGCGTACTTTGGCTAGCAAACCGTTGATTAGAGATGTCCATTAAAATTTTTAAGAGGCTCATTAGTGAACAAAGAATATTCTTTCCGATAAGGTGTTCATTATCGACGCCTCACCTACAATGAAACATCGCTAAATTTCTCAGTCCACAGGTTCAAATACAGTTTTCAGATTATATATCAGATCATACTTTAAGGAGTCCCAAAAGTAGGATATAGTTAATGCACCGCTGTATATCTTTCTTCAGTACCACCTCTTTCCTTGACCTTGTTGTTCTCTAAATCCAAATTTTTTATAAGAATTTTATTCACTCTAAGTACCTATATCCTGGAAGTTATCCAGCTTTCCTAACTTTATTTGTAAAGCAGACTGAATTTGATATCAAACTTCTTCAAGGCGAAAATCATCGCTGGAATTAAACGAAGTTTTATTCACTTCTTTCTCGAACACAGACTACGCGGTACAGTCTACTGCACTGAACAGGTCGCATATTTTTATTCCGAAAATTTGGATTGCTGAAAGATACTGTAGTGAAGTTTTGCTTCTAGTGGTGATTGTATATTTGATGATATCATCTACCTCGGATATTTTTCGCAGATATTTGCTTGTTTTTTACATTAATTCAACCACAATTACTTATATGCAGAGACGATCTCACACAAAGTGTCTGTCATTGTGCCTGATTTAATTCTAACAGAAAAGATTTTGTACTCAGGTGGATTATTTGGATGTCATTGTGTTCTCCGAGTTGGACGATTTTATTACAAAGATTTCAATCTGCTTCTAGGATAAATCTTCAGCACAGACTTCAGTATGAAGTGAATATATTTAAATTCTCCATGAATGATATATTCGTGTCTCGAGACAACTTTTGTTGTGATTGGTTGTTAGCTTGTATTTGCATTGATCGTTTGTATTGGCCTAAGGTTTAGAAAAAATCAAAAGCCTTCAGCTAGGTGGCAGTGAAATCATATTATCCTTTGACATCACAGCATTGTAAACTTCAGATGGACAAAATCTACCAGAAGAAATTATGCACCAGTTATTCTATAGTGATGAACGTACAAAAACACATTGTTAGAGATGGATAGAGCTCATATAACATATTTCCAATTCATAGACCGAATATATGAACAGATAAAAGAAATACCAATGAGATCACCCTTATCAAGACTAACTGCACAGGTATCTTATGTCAAGACAAGAAATGATAGCTCTGCCCATAATCGAACCAAAAATCTGGATACGTTATGTTAGTGACCCGCTTATCATAATCAGAAGAAATGGTTTGGAAAGCACTCACAAAATAATCAACAATGTGGACGAAGACACTTGATTCATAAGAGAAGAAGAATCAGACAACAAAATTCCTTTCTTATGTCTTAGTTAGGAGAACAGATACAGGAAATCTAAAAATATAAGTCATAAAGGAAATCAACTTTCAGCAGCACACAAAAACACTGAGTACAAACATTACTAAACAGAAATGAAACAAAGTGCAGCACTCCAGTCATCAGCAAAACAGTAGAAAAATATTTGATTGGTTGGAGAGTTTCATCATGAGGTGACATCATTTAGAAAACTATTGGAATACCTGGGAGTACTGGACAGCTGTTTCGTCCTAGTTTGGGACTATTCAGCAGTATGCTTCCACCGGGGTTCAAACCCAGGACCTTCCGGTCATAAGGCGAGCTCATAGACCATTATTTATTTATTTATTAACTATCTTCGGGGGGGGGGGGTTGCATACTCTTACTATGTGATCAAAAATATGTCTAAACTGGAATCAAGTTACCTCAGAAGCCGATAAAATATCCAACCCGCAATACCTAATGACTGTCTCTGAAATAACAGCTAGAATACTAAAACCATTCGGAATAGATACAGCACATGAACTAACACAAACACTTCTTTCAACACTATGCAGACCAAAAAACCCAACAGCAAAAGTTGACAATAGCATCTACGTAGAAAATTGCATGAACTGTGATAAACACTATATTCGACTTCGAGTTCAAAAACATTTACTATCTGTTAGAACACATAACATGTATTCTTTCAAATCGATGCATGTAGATAACTATGGATACCAATTTGACTGAGAAAATGCAGAAATCGGAAACAACGGTAGCACGAAAAATACCAGAGAATTCCTTGAAGTCCGGCAATCAAATGAACCAGAGATTAATAGACATATTGGTACAGATCAAATTCACCAGCTAATAAAGAGTAAATCACACGAAAAAATGATCAAAGTCCACAGCAAAATGTTTATCAATACTAATGCAAAATTTACAAGCAATCACAGCGAAGGTTTTGAGGAGACATAGTTATCTCATTTACGGAGAATTCAAAGAAGTCCACTGCACCTTGAAGTTTGCACTGATGATTTTGTCTACAACATCTATACAAGCTTCGTAATACAATCACCCAATTCAGAGAACACAACCACATCAAAATGTTTTTATGCTGGTTAAAATCAAACCTTTACATGACCAGTGTTTTTGGTACCACAGTAGCAGACAAAACTACATCACATAGCATTACTCTCTGCGCATAAAATTCACACGCCAACATAACTAACGTTTTCTGATAGTGTAAAGTATAATAAATAAATACGGTTTCGTTAACTACAACAGCATCTATGCATACAAACAATGAGAAATACTAAAACGATATGAGTTTTTCAAATCATGAAAGTGTTTTCAGAAACAGAAAATTCATTGTGTCAATAGTTTTTGTCAAGTTGACTTGCTCCATAAAAATATTGTCGTCCGGTTTAAGCATGTTATCAGGCGAAGAATAATCTGTATCAAAATTTTACTATTTGACACAATAAATCACTTTTACTGGGTCAGATAGAACACATCACTATCTGATTTCTCTTTATATTATATTTAAGTATAAGATAACCCCAACAGTTCAATGTATAACATTTGCTTAATCTCTTATGAGGTCATAAGATTTCACTTTAAATCACATTATAATATAGTGAAGAGGTTATTCATGTTTTGATGTTAAACGAAAGAACCAAGTGTCCATTCCATCTCCAGTTATCAATCATTACATCGATAACAGCTAAACAACTTAGAGGTATCTTAATTAATTTTAAAATAAGAATATAAAATCCTTTCAAAACAGTTTCTACACAGCACAATTAATTTTCCGTTGGTAAAGGTATGAATATTCTTCAAATGGGAAGTCAGGAAATTCAGAGCTTTCGCGCTATTATTTGGAATGGCAACTACAACACCCAGAGATCAGTCGAGTTGAAAACAAGAGTGGAATCAGAAGGTAAATTATCCTTCCTAAATGTTCAACATTAAATATGAACAGATAGAACATTACAAAGATCGGTTTACCAAACGTCAAAGTAAAGTTAAGAGCTAATAAGCTTTCAAAGTTTTATCCAAATAAGCAAAAGAAGAAACCTCATGGCCTGTCTTGCGACAAGATTCTATCGCACATGCTCCGAAGATTCACTGAGTAAAGAATTGGAATCGTTCAGAAACACTCCAACTAAAAATAAATATCCAACCTGTTTCATCAACAAAAACTTAAAGAGAAAGACCGATTCTGCTAGGAATCTGGATTTGCTGACAGAACAACTGATTGTAAGCCGGGAATCCAAAGGAAATACAGTCAGCAAAGTTCTCCGAAGCTCTCTGTTGAGAGTAATTTCAAGGATGATGTTTGCTGAATCTCTGGGCTTCACCTTGATTACACACTCATTTTCTCCCAAAATGTTAAATCCTAAATCCAATTGTTGGCAACTTCAATTTGTAATCCCCATTTCTCTTGCCCCTACAGCACCTCTATATTAACTGTAAATGTACCCTTACAAAACTAATTTATGTATCCATATTCTACGTTTACAGAAACAAATTTTTACAAACGCTTGCGGAATATTTGCCATTGTGTTGTTGAACATTGCTCTTCGTGTAGCACATATATATTCTGCCCGGTTATACACTTCATCGTTTAGCGCCTTTCAAAATTTGATTTCACTAACAAAACATCTTTTCAAAATTTTATGTGCGCTTCTTAACACAGTGTTGTTCATATTTGACTGCGTACAGCGTTAGTACATAACAGAACGTGAGAACGTGGATGTTCTAAAGTATTATAATCGGAATCATATTTATTACCCTATACTCCAATGAAGTTAAGAACATAAACCATACCAACAGTACATTATCTAAACGTACTCATAAACACCTCATTGAGAGGAGAAAGCAGAACAGTCAACAGCTTAGTTATAAAGCATATTATTACATCTGGTAACGCAGTGTCTGTGAAGACTTCATTCAAAGTAATATATGAGTCAAGATCAAGCAGTTCCAGCGAATTCCGCATACATCTTTTTCATACGATCGAAGCTCTAATAATCCATAAGGAAAAACCGGAACTTTATATTCAGAAACATTTTATGCAGCCTTTTTTCTACCGTGATTTTAGTTTCAACTTTATTTTCCTGAATTGTTTCATAAAAAGCTCCATGTAGTTACATTATTTTTTAATTTTTGTAGCCCATTCTCAGTCATTTGTTTATTTGTTTCCTATCAATTACTTGCCAATAAATTATTCATCAGTTAACTAACTTGTTGTTACCCTTCTGAATTGGGTAGGATTATTCACTGTTTTCCATAAATTGTTATGTTTGACAGTTTAATGTATTTTTTTACTAACTGACACTTACGTCCAGCCCTTACTGTCACTTAATGTTGCATATACGAACCCCTAAATAACTTTATAGCATTGATTTGAAGTTACGAGAAGAGATATCTTCGTCGACATGTATGTTCAGAATCACATAACTTCAAATTCATACTGTCTAATAAATAAACTGAAATTAACTGACTGGAAAACAGATGACAACGCCCCTGAGATAGTTCCAAGTGAGCAGATATATATTAATGTTACTGGTGACGGCTGTAAGTGAAGTAGAAATCTGAGTTTCCATAGGATTCAGACCAGTGACCTCCAAATTGCCAGTCTGGGTAGTGATAAATCGACAGGATTGTAACACTCATTCAATTGACAAATTGGCATTTATTATCCTGATTACAGTGAACTGATAACCTGTTTATCAGTTAATACCGCATCCCTGTGTGACATTTAAAATTAACTTTTCTAATATGGAATTGCATTCCACCACAATGCCCAAATTCTACACTTACACGACCACCTAAGGTAGTTTAAACACCTATTAACAACCTTCACGTCTCCTTCTAGTTCAGTATGATCAGAAATGACAGAAGAAGACATAACTGGGCATATGTTTTGATGATGGATGGACACTGACCTATCATTCATTCACACAACACCTGAGCGCTCATCACCTGTATTAAATACTGTGAAATGATTACAAAGGAGCTAAATATTTTGAAAAAATATTTCTGTTACAATCTACAAAAATGATCTTACCATAGACCAGCAGGCAATATATAATTTGTATATAAGGCTTCATTTCTTGGTTTTAGTGATTTCTACAAATGTAGCGCCAATCGTCAAGCGATGATCTGAAACGGATAGCAAAGAGCACGTTAGCAGGGTGATCACACAAGTCCACGTGCCTGTAAGAACGAGGACTACAAGCCAAGAGTTATATTTTCAGTCATATTTTAATTAAGCTTGCCTGGTTTACTACTTCACTAGTTTTCTTGACCGTTGCAAGCCCACAAAAAGAGAGAGGGCTGGGCTAGCGACACCATCCCAGAAAATCAGTCAAACTGCTACAGAAACTTCAAAGCACAGGAAAAATACTAAAAATACAAAAAAACTTTTCCTTGTTGGAATCGGAGAAATGAAATGACGCTGGCTCGTGAAAACCTTCGTGAAGCGAGTCAGCCAATGTGTCTTCTTTCGAATAAAGTAAAAACGAGTAAAAGGATGAGGAATGTTCGTACAACGTACGAGTCTTAGAAGGCTCTTCAAATTGCCATACAAATGAGATGTGCTAGGCATCCGTGAGAGCAGAGACTATGCATGTGAACTAGCCAAATAGTCAAGTGGACAGTCAGTAAACTACTCTGGTAACCCAGACAATAGCTACGAGCACAGTGAGGGAGTGACTATCATGGTGTCACCAACTGCATCCAAAGTTCTTATACAGTGGGAACCAATCTACTCCAGGATAATGACAGCAAAATTCAACTCAAAAGGAAGGAGAGAAGGTCATAATTATCCAATGCTACGCACAGTGCTACAAAAACCTCAACAAGAGAAGAAGGAAGATTTCTACAGAGAACTGTAAGCAGTTATGAACAACGTCCCAATGGTGATATCAAAATCTTTATGGGTGATATGAATGTCATCCGTACAATATAGGAATATAACTCATCATGGTAGAGATTCGCTTGTAGAAATGAATGGCAGTGGAGAAATCTCCTCAAACTTCTGCACCTTCAGTGATTTGGTGATCGGAGGCAGTGTGTACAAACACAAAGGTATATGCAAGCAGACATGGGTTTCGCCTAACAGACACACCACAAACCAGATGCATTTAATCTAAATGCTGCTCAAGAGAGTACAGAAGCAGTCTGCTGGACACAAACTCAAGAAGGGGAGTAGATGTGGGCCTAGACTATCATCTAGTTCAAGGAACCTAAAAGGTGAAGCTGAAATCCTTTGGAACACCTGGAGACACACCACAATTCAAACTCAGCAGTCAGAAACTGTAGGACTAAACCAGTAGGGACACCTTCACTACAGATCAGACCAGTGCAAAGTCGAAGACACTACTTGGTGTTACTGAGGAAACCTGCGTGGAAGAACACTGGATTTCTCTGAAGGCGATAGTCAAGGAAAACCTGTACAACTGTCCTAGGAAGAAAGAAAAGACAAGAAAAGGAATTGCTCCCAACGGATACTTGGAAGCCAATTGACGAGAGAAGGATGTTGAAAGAGAAGATGACTTAATGCAAAGATGAACAACAGAAGAGAAATCTGAGTTCACTGCACGCAGCACTGAATGAGAAAAGAAGTGAAGAATAGTGCGAGGAGGGACAAATGGCGATTTCACGACACACTGGACCGCAACTGTAGCAAAAAGCCAGCATGCAGGTAGAAGAGACCTCAAGACATTGTATCAAATAACCAGGCATCTATCCGGTAACAGAACAAAACAGGTGAAACCAATAAAAGATGGTTAAGGGAACCTAATTACCATGGAGGACAGATAACTACAACAACTAGTTCATCACTTCGAAGGACACTTGAATCAAACACCGCTTGCAAGTCATTCAGAAATACAATCAGCAGCTCGCGCGGAAGTGCCTGCCAGTGGATACCAATCTTCCAACGAAAGCAGAATTCCTGAATGCGAATATGCTCCTGAGGATCTGGAAGGCAGCATGTGCAGACGGAATTCCCCTAAAGCATTGGAAACCGATTGAGAGAATGAGCAGATTTGCTCACGCCATTATTGTAAAAGATTTGGAAGGAAGAAATGGTGCTTACCGATTGGAAGGAAGACTGGCCTCCTCGTCAAGCTACCAAAGAAGGGCGACTTAGGCCTCTGCAAGAACTGGCGTGGAATAATGCCCTTGTCCACGCCAAGTAAAACACTTAATCGCGTCATCCTGAAGAGAATACAAGATGCACTGGGTACAGAACTCCGCCGACCTGAAACAAGGTGGATTCAGGAAAGGCAAATCACGTACTGACCAAATTACAACTCTTAGCATTGTATCACAGAATAAAACAAAGAACACCAGTCGAACCTCCACCTCAACTTCGAAAAGACCTTCGACAGCGTAGACCAAAAAGTAATTTGGAAACTACTTCGACACAACGGCGTTCAGTTCTCAAATCTTTATCAACCTCATTCAATATCTGGCTCTTTGGCAATGCCACATATAAGGTGATCCACAAAGGAAAACCCAGCGAGGCGTTCGAAGTGCATACAGGAATAAGACAAGGCTGCCTATTATCACCGATGATATTCATAATTGTGGTGGACTAGATTATGCGTCAGACTGTGCATGGGGAGTGAGAAGAGAGAAATACGCTGAACCAATAAGAAGACTCTAGAAGATCTGGATTTCGCGGATTACTTATGTTTAATGTCATACTAACTCGAAGACTTGCAGGTGAAAAGCAAAATCCAGCTAAAGAGGTAGTTAGAAAAGACACGACTCATAGTCATAGAGAAGACGGAGGTGATGAAGATCACAAACCAACAGCAGCGACAACTAGCATCAGCAACCATCTATGCGAGAAACTTCACTTATCTAGGAAAATGTCAAAGCCAATCAGAATCGGAAATGCAAGATACACCTTCATCAACTTGAAATCACTTTGGAAATCTTCTGCACTCAGCATAAACAACAAGACTCAAATTATCAACACCAATATTAAGTCATTCATTCCTGCTATATGGATCAGAAACTTGCTTTGTGCGTTATAAGAAACAATACTACCAGGCCACTACAGACGTTTTATCAACATCTTCCTTGGCTCCATGTTGAAGGTCAAATGACAAGAAAGAATTAACAGCAAGAAACTATGGGAACAAACCAACTAATAGCCAGTCGCTTAACTAATATGTAGAAGAAAATGGAGACGGATCGGGTATGCATTCAGGAGACCCTCGAATGACATCGCGCACCAGGCCATTACTCGAATGGAATCCAAATTGGAAACGACGAGTGGACAAAAGGGTGACATGGGGAAAATTGCGCGAGGAGGAGATGTGAGACTATGGGCAACAGCGGACGTAGCTAAACAGGACATCAGAAAACAGAACAATGTGGTGATGTGTTGTTGAAGACCTGTTCTACTCGGAACCCAAGGGAACAATAACAATAAAATATTTCAACTGAGTGAAAGGAGAAGAATCTTCCTATTGGTCATCTGTCGTGTCATTTTGTGTGACCACTCCATCCGCGCCACTCAGCCAACCTCAAATCAGACAAGCATTAAGTTTAAACTTAAGAAAACCGCTTACACAAAGTAGTAAAAAGATAAAAGCATTTGCTTCTGAAGAGCTTATTAGTTTGATGACAACAATATTTCACTTGAGAAATTTAAAAAACAACACGAACACGAAAACAGATAATTTATGAGTTTTTAACAGATAATGAATTTGTTTTCCTAGAATTATCCTATTGTAATGTTAGCATTTAAAGGCCTAATGTACTCACTATTTCACATTAGTAATGAATTCTGAATTATTAATTGTTTCAAACTTTCTTTAATTTGCGCCTTATTCGAAATAATTAATAAGTCCCGCATTTTTCCATAAAAAGATTGCGTGTTTACTAATTTATGCACTATAAAATGAAAAAAACCAGGGTTGCATGTTTACATAAAACTAATGATCTCTACATTTATACAAGAAATTAAATATAATTCAGGATGATATCATTCTACTCAAGGGAAACAAACTTTATATATCATTAAAAAGTAGTCAGGTGAGGTGATAATGTTGCTTTTAAACTCCATGTTTGATGAAGGAACATAAAACACAAAGACTTGAACTACGATAGGATTCAAACCAATCCGTATTGCCCTAGTGTCTCGACCAGCAGTCGAGTCTTCTTTTCACGGTAATCACTAAGCATCTTGCCCAGCTTTTATGTAAATGAATGATATTAAACTGTTTGTTCAGTATCACCAGAGTATTTGGCTAGGCAAATCGTATCATCTCAATTCTGATCACGCATCATAGAAGCTAGCGAAGCCTGTGTAATGAACACAGGAGTAAAACAAGGCTGGCTACTATCACCGATGATATTAAGTCATGCGGCAGAAAATGAGAAACGAGAAGACAGGAATAGGTTAGACAGTAAAGTATATTCTAGAAGGTCTGGACCTCTCAGTTGAATTATTTTTGATGTCACAAAAACTTGAAAATCTGCAAGCGAAAACTAACAAACTGGTAGGAGAGGTTAACAACGAATACCAGACTTCGTGTGAACACAGAGAAGACGGAAGTGATGAAGATATCTACTAACAACAACGAAAACCAGTCGCCATAACTGGGAGAAATTCGAGGAATGCCATTTTCACTAATCCGAGCATCATCGTTTCAAATAGATACAGAACCGATAAATATTTCAAATGCGAAATCGGAAAAGCACGATAGACCTTCACTCTCATGAAATCAGAGTATAAGTCTACTCTACTCAGAATAAAGAACAAGATCTGATTTCTGTTTAACACTAGTGTCAAGGTAGTGCTTCGTCATAGTTTAGAAACTTGAAACCCTATTGAAAGCATTTTAAAAGTGCTATCTCATCAACAGCCGCCTTTGCTCCATACTGGATATCAGATGACTAGGAAGGATTAACAATAAGAAACTCTTGCAACAAATCAACCAAGAAGCAATCGTGCAACAAATATGTAGAAGGAAGTGAAGATGAATTGCACACAGACTGAAGAGATGGCTGAGTGACATCATGCACCAGGAAGAACCTCAGGTGAAACCTAATGAAAAACATGAGTCAGGAGTAGATGTGATTGTGATATGATATGTGTAGAAGAGGTCAAAGCTTATGAGTAGTCGCGGAGGCAGATA